AGAAACCACTGGGTTCCAAGATTGTTTTGTGTGCCTCTGGGATCATGGCCGTTCAGAAACTGGAGGAGCCATTCATGGGTGGCAACTTGGGGTCTCGTCAGGGCAGGGAGAAGCTATAAAGCTATTTTTTTAAAGCAACTGTCCATTCAAATCAAACCGAATTTCTAAATATGAAGGTCTGTTTTCCTATTAACTTTGAAAAATAAATTTACTTGTACTCAAAAGCTCTAGTGATCATCTTCAACACATATATGCATAACGGAACTGCTATTTGCTGTCACAGTTGAACCTTTGCTAAAAGAAAATTTAGCACTGGGCCAAGTGGACCCTTACTGTGCAGTGAAAGATTCCCAAAGTGACAGTTGCTGAGTCACTTTACAGCACCCAAGGTCCATCTTCCTTCAGTCACCTCAGACCTCCACTGGTCTCTGGAGTTAGAAACATCACACAGTGAATGCCTGAGAGCACCTGGGACTGAAGACTAAGAATCAAACGCCTTTTGGTTCTTCCTCCATTTTATTCAGACAGAAGGGAGGCAGAGATGATCAACAAGATGTGCTCTCTGCCCTCACAATGTTCAGATAAGTTACAGAGATATACATGAAAAAAGACAGCCACCCCAGATTTGAAGGGAGGTACAATTGCAACGTGTTGGGCAAGATGTTTGGAAAGACTTGTGAAGAGGGATTGTGTGACACAGAGCATTGGGGCACAAGAATAGCATTTTGAAGCCAGACACCTACCTTTTCTGCGTCCCACAGCACAACTGATAGAAACCTGAGGTTATTGTAGTATTTCTTTGATTTAGGGAAATTGTATTCATCTCCTTCTTTACCAATTTTATGAGAAAGAGATGCTGTAACATATTTAGTTTCAAGTGAGAGGCATTCCTAATCTAAAATGCTAAATACCATTGCCATTTAAATTTTGAGGTTGTCAAGTCAATCAGAAGGTTGGTATTTGAATTGTTTTTCATTATTCAAAAATTATTAAGCCATAATTTGAAAAGGTGGGGTTGAAAAACGGGTTTGAATATTGGTAGTATAAGCTCAGTACTGAATTCCATGGCTTGATCAAAAGGGTGAGAATTTGAACCAGCGTTACAGCCACAAGCACTTTAAGCTTTATACTTTGTCAGCTAAAAATGCCTTAACCTTCGTATGTTCCCTCTGGCCACTGTCTCATAATTTTATATAGGTATTCTAGCTTTGGTTGTGGTGCTCACACACTTGGTTGATGTGCTTGCTAGGGTCACACACTCAGTTTTGGTTCTGGGAATCCCTAACAAAAGAGTCACCAGAATCACATTCAGTATGTGGGGTGGTGCTGGGGATCAAACTCATGACCTTATGCCTGCTCATCCAGGCACTCTACCACTGAGTTATTCCTGGTTCCCATTGCATCAGACTGGATGGCTGCCCAATAGACTTCCTCCTGCCTCCTTGACTCACTCTTCTGCCATCTCCATCTCTGCCACTGTCATCCCCTGGAGCCCAGCTGAATTCTGCTGACAACAACTTGGCCAAAGCTCAAGAGGCTTCTCATCTGACTGACAGATAACAAAGGAAGGCATTCACACTCCTTCCGCGTGCTACATATTTAGGTCTTAATTCTTCAAAGTGAGGTGTTTACATTTCAGTCGGGCGTTTCTGCCACCACATTTGATGGCATGCCATCGCAGAACAGCTGGAGAGAGGTCCTAAAGCAGGAGAGGCCTGGCAAGGTTGCAGAACCCTGAAGAGGTCAGGGTGGCTGGAGCACACTGAGTAAGTAGGAGGAAAAGGGAGGAGTGCTAAGAAGGGGCTTGTGGAGGAGCTTTTGCAGGCATGTTGTAGTTGTAAGATTCTGGCTTTTACTAAGAGTAAAATGAGAAGCCATTGTAGGATTGGGATAGTGTGTACGTGTAGGACTTCGTGTTTTAATGGAGGTCACTGGCCAATGTGAGCGAGAATGGAATTTCTGGAGGTAGGGGACACACAGGGAGCTGATTAGGAAGCACTTGTGGTTGTCTAGGTGAGGGAAGGCAAATGGACTGATGGTAGAAAAATTTCAGATCTGGTTAATGGATGAAGTACTAGAATCCCTTAGTAGAGTGGCTATCAACTATATATAAAAAAGCAGGTCCAAAGATAATACTGTCTCCTATTTGTTCTATTTAAATAGTTATTCTATTTAATTAGTTATTCTAGACTGGAGTGATAGCACAGTGGGTAGGGCGTTTGCCTTGCATGCATCTGACCCAGGTTCCATTCCTCTGCTCTACTTGGAGAGCCTGGCAAACTACCGAGAGTATTCTGCCCGAACAGCAGAGCCTGGCAAGCTCCCTGTGGCATATTTGATATGCCAAAAACAGTAACAATAAGTCTCAAAATAGAGATGTGACTGGTACCCGCTTGAGCAAACCAATGAACAAAGGGAGGGCAGAGGACAGTGCAATTAGTTATTCTATTTGCTTGCCAAAATACATAAGAAAATTTTACATAAAAAGAACTTTTTTTTTTACTATTTCTTTAGAATTGTAATGCGGTAGAAAGTAAAAATCCTGGACTAAGCCTAATCCTAAGAATCACAGAGTATTTTCTTCTGCATAGAATTGTGCTTTCCACACTTCCAGCTGGTATGGGCTGTCTTTTGAAAAATACATTTCTCATTGATCTAGTTCCATTGTTAAATTGCCATTTTATAAAACATTCATCAGCACACTAAAACTGTAATTGGAATAGGAAGTCTACATTTTTATTTGTAAAAAAAAAAGTTCTGCTTTTAAGGATAAAAATCATTACACTTAAATCCTGCTTTTAAAGACTATTTCAAGTTCAGTTAATCCAAGTGCTCAGGATGTGGCTTTGTAAAGGTTTCTCCTGAGAAATTCTCAGCACATGCCATTTCAAGACCACACAACACTAAAATCTTAATATTCTGATTGATTTTCTCCCTTGTTTCTGGACTTTATGTAGTGCTAGCTTAAAGCCTTTAAATTCAGTGCTATTTTTTAAAAAGGATGTTCATATTTTATTTCATATGTAAACCAACTAAAATCCTGCATTTTCACATCATCCAAGTTTCTCCCTAATTTAATTAAAGCCTAAAATAATGTAATAAAATGTAAAGGTAAAAGTTATGAATAATAGACATTATTGTACTGTTGCAGGAGAGAAAGTGAGGCTAACTTCCTAAGAACTGCTTATCTCCCCTGTCTGCTCCTTTCTTCTTTGTCGCTGGACCCAGAGACATCTGAGTTCTACCTTCCCCTTCTCTAGTCTGACTCCCAGCTTCCTTTGAGGGACATCTATTTGTAGTTTTCATTTGTTGCTGTAGTCACCTGATTCTTCTTGGCTCTTGGTCTTTCTGTGTTTGTTAGGACATATTTGTTTAATAATGAATATTTGGTTTTGCTATCATCTAGATGCAAAAATATTTTTTTGTTAACTCTTGGAAAGCAGGTATTGAGTAAGTCAATAATATGTGGTGCTGATAATATTCTAGACTCATGCCTCTCGGCTAACAAAAAGAGTAATAGAACGTACATAGTAATAAAGTCATTTAAGTCCCAAGGAAGACCAATGGCATGTTTCAAAGTATTTCCTTAGATTGATACAATATGTAGGGTTAAATGATTTGTGGAATATGGGTGGAGGGGGTGGCAACGGGACAGAAGAAGTTCCTTATACAACTGATTTAATGTGGCATAACATTGTCTCCAAGGTTTCATACATTTTATACTCATATACATGTCGGTGTTCCAGGCTAAGAGTTTAGGTAGCTGTGATATAACTCATATGGGAGACCTTGCATTATAAGAAAATATGTCTATTAAATAATTAGCTTTAAAAATCTATTAAAAAATTTCGTTGATTTTTTTTTCTGGTTAGGTACGTTTTGCTTCCCACAATAATTAAATTGCTGAGAAACTTCTCAGCCCTTTGAATGTATCACTGTCTTTCCTGTCACCATACTTGAAACCTTAGGACAGTCTTCTTGTCCTCTGCTTGCCACTTACCATACATTAAGTCTATTCATCTCTGTAATCGACCACTTTTCTCTGTTCATATTGCCTTGATCCAAGCTCCAAGACCCGAAGGAGCATCTTTTTGATGATCCGTTCACCTAACTGTATTTTTTGAGTTTCTCCAGCATCCCTGGCCAGATTCTCGGGACATAAAAATGAATCATTTCCTTGCCCTTGAAGAGTTAGTGTAGAGCTGACATAAGATTATGAGTGTATCATTGTGGCATATATTCCTAAAACTAACAGGGAAAAAGTCACTATATTATTCTAAGATCACATGACCTCTTTTTTTCCCAGCTGTAAGCATTTGAAAATTAAGTTAAATATCTATTTGTACCATGGCAGCACTGTAGCACCGTCCTCGCATTGTTCATCAATTTGCTAGAGTGGGCACCAGTAACGTCTCCATTGGGAGACTTTTTGTTACTGTTTTTGGCATGCCACGGGGAGCTTGCCAGGCTCTGCTGTGTGGGCGGGATACTCTCGGTAGCTTGATAGGCTCTCCGAGAAGGACATCTATTTGTAGTTTTCATAGTTCTGATTAGTTTTACCTACATTAGCCATAGAAATTTAAATTTTTATTTGAAATCTGCATTTTCTAACTTCTGTGTTACTTTTGGCAGCAAGAATTTTTATTGACAGCTGTCTCTTCACAGAGTTAATACACTTAAGGATAACTTTAAGGATGCTATCCTTTCACTTAGGTGAAATCTACTACCTGAGACTAAAGAGCTGTACAGTCAACTCTGTCCTTATATTTCCTCAATTCAAATTTAGTTTTAACTGGTCTGGTTTTAACTCTGAATCAGTGGCAATCAACTCAGCATCCCCAAACAATGGGTAGAAACAAATCCTTATGTGAATCAACTTTTCTAAATAGCTTAGGATTGGGAAATTCTAAAGGAAAAAGAGAAGGATGTGACAATGAATATTTTATGGCCTATCAAGGTATCTATAATTTATGTCTTACAATTGTTTTGTTTACTTGTAGCTACAAGAAAACACATGAAACCCTGAGTCACGCAGGGCAGAAGGCTACTGCAGCTTTCAGCAATGTGGGGACAGCCATCAGCAAGAAATTTGGAGATATGAGGTACTGTGGGAGAAATTCTGGGAATGATGCTAAGCCCTTAACTTTTTGAGGAAATGGGAGCATTTTCTATCTCTTGATCTTCCTAACATATTGTTTTAAAACTTTTCACAGAAACTTTATGTGGCTAATGTTGATGGATGTCTAAAATAATCTTTATTTGCTTGTTTTGGTGCTTAGAAGTTGTCCCTTATACTACAGAGCCAGTGATCAAACCCAGGACTCCTGCATGTGAACTGTGGGCTCCTGCTATTTCCCCAGCAATAAGATACCTTGCTAATTTTTTATACCAATCTCCCTTGATCATGAAGTTGTGTCCTCATATCTTACTATATGTCTTGCTCTTTTGATTTAGAATTTTTTTTTTGATGTAGGAGTACTGCTATTTATTCAGCCATTGATTAAGCTGATTGAATTGGGCATGAACTCCACTGATTTAGAATATTTTAAACTTACCTTGAGCTTATCAGGGTGTGACACATTTCTGATTTGAAAATATCATCAAGTCAAAAATGTGTTTAATATACTTTTTGTTTGTTTGTTTTTGGGTCACACCTGGCAATGCACAGGGGTTACTTCCTGGCTCTGCTTTCAGAAATTACTCTTGGCGGTACTCAGGGGACCATATGGGATGCTGGAAATTGAACCCCGGTCAGCTGCGTGCAAGGCAAATAAATGCCCTACCTGCTGTGCTATCACTCCAACCCCATTTAATATACTTAATACCAAACATTAGAGCTTAGTTTAGCCTTCCATAAATTGCTTACATTAACTTATAGTTGGGGAAAATCATCTAACACAAAGCCTGTTTTATAGTGAAATGTTGAATAGCTCATGTAATTTATTGAATGCTGTTCCATGAAAAATCACAGTTATATGGGAGGGATCTGAATGCTAGTGTACCTGTCTAAAAGAACCCTGGGTCTGATGAATTATGTAACACTCAAAAAAAAATGATGCTGCATGATGAAGATGCTGCAGCGATAGGCCACCCCATTCTCTCTCTTCTGATGAGAATTGCTCATGGAAGATACATGATTATGGTCCTATAGCATTTTGTAGAGTTTGCAGTACACAGAGCTAAATTTTTCTCAAGATATATATATGGGATGCTGGGAATTGAAACCAGGTCGGCAGCATGCAAGGCAAACACCCTACCCTCTGTGCTCCAGCCCCAAGAGAAATTTTTACTTTCATTAGACGTTTTTCTTTGAATTATTTTGGATTTAAAAGTGTCATTATTATAGGAGTTGAAGAGGTGATACAGAAGTTAGGGCACTTGCCTTGTACACTGGCAAGTTCTGGTTCAGTTCTTAGCATTGCAATATGGTCCCCTAATCACCATCAGTTGTGATCCTTCAGCATGGAGCTGAGAGTAAGCCTTGAGCCCCACTGGATGCCTCTCACCCCACCCCTCACCAAACAAAAAAAATAGGAAGTGTCATTGTTCCATATTTTTGTTAGTTGGCTATGATATTCTTCTGTGCATTCTGGAAACAAATTTCTAAATTTATTTAAAAAGATTGTCATCACAACTCCGATAGCTACGAAGAAAAATGGTCCCTCTCATATTTTCTTTAATCTGTTTTTTTCTTTTTTTTTTTTTAAAGGCACTCTTTTTCAAGCCAGAACTTTCAATCTAACCCTCTAGGTGCAGAACCCACAATTCAGTCATAAAAATGTTCCCTCTCTCCATTTCTGAAGTTAAGATCTACTTAACTAAAATCTTTCCGTGAAGTGAAATGAAGTCATTTTCCTGAATGTGTTTTGAAGACATGCAAGCTATTGCAATCATTTTGATAATTATATGGTATCTGAAATCATTTTGATAATTATATGATATCTGCTGGAAATATTCTGGTGAATTTATTCAAACTGCATGTGATCTGGTAGCAATGAAATGTTTGCAGGGGGATGATAATTTAATTTTAGTTCAACCAACTCTGTATATCCATATGAATGATAGTTGTGTACCGAGTAACAAGTTACTAAAGTATGGCACATTGAAAGTCAGTATCTTAGAGAGTTGTGAACGGAGATACCTACTTTTCACTTTAGTGCTCAAGGAGCATGCAATTATATCTTTGCATCCTGGTGTGCTAACTCTGCTCTTGTTTCTCCTTGGGCTGCTTTGGCTGAAGGTCTCATTCCATTGGGTAAGCGTTCCTTGCCTAACCCCCCCGCCCCCATTTCTCTCCCACTCTGGGTATACTGCAACCCAAATAAAAGATCTCTTTGCTTGCAGATATGTCTGATCAGAGAGATCAGAGGGCACCTAATACCTTTGAATATGTTTAAACGCATATTTAATTCATTTCTGAATCATTTACATTACGTTCACGTGCTACACAATCTCTTATTCTCTTTGCATGATTCCTTCCTACATTAGCAGAGTTCCTTAGAACCAAAATGAAAGAAAGTGGAACTAGAGAATTGCATTTTTAAAATAGATATTTAGAAAGGAGAGTAAAGGAAAAGATTACTTTCTCTAGATTGTGTCTTTTTTCTGAATTCTTATAAGTATTACTTCTCCAGATGGCTCAGCTTCAACTTTCTGTACCTTGTGAGACTGAAGAGGAAAAAGGTTACTGGAAAACATGTGTTAGGACGTGTGCAAATGTCAGACTCCAGCTCTGAATTAAGCCTCTTCTTTGGGTTCTTACTATACATATATATTGGGCAAGTTGGCATGGGGGATTCTTTTCTTTTAAAAATGCCTGTATGTAATAAACCAATAGATTAATAGTGCTGATAATTTATTTGATGGGGGTGGGGATGCTTGGACCACAGTGGCAGTGTTCATGGCTTATTCCTGAGTCTGTGCTCAGGAATCACTCCCTGGTGCATCATATGGGGCTTGAGGACCATTTGTGGTACCAGTGATCAAACCCTGGACAGCCTCATGCTAGGCAAGCACCTCCAAGCTCCAGCCCTGCTGATGAATTTCTTCAGTAATTCTTTTCAGTGTAATTTCTTAGGAAACATTTGATTATTGTTGATAAATGGAATGTCGAGGGAAAGATCATTTGTATACCCTGAGTTTCTTGTCCTTTCCTTGCTGAGTCCTACTGCTATGCTGCTCGTGCTGATAACATTGGTGGATAGCTATGGGTAAGGGTGGCAAGTCTGATCCTTATTACCTTCTTGGGAGAAGAGAAAGCGGAGACTGGGTTGGAAATATGATGGAGGTACACTTGGCTGGAGAAGTGGGCCACATTCCCCCTTACTAGCCCTGTAGCACTGTCCTCCCATTGTTTTGCTGGAGCGGGCACCAGTAACATCTCCATTGTGAGACTTCTTGTTATTGCTTTTGGCACGGGTAGCTTGCCAGGCTTTGTCGTGCAGGTGGGATACTCCTGGTAGCTTGCCCGGCTCTCTGAGAGGGGCGGAGAAATCAAACCCAATTGGCTGCATGCAAGGCAAATGCCCTACCCGCTCGCTGTGCTATCGCTCCACCCTCTTACTAGATCTATCCTTATTTCTGGAACTCAACTGGTTATAATAGCTAATTAATCTATCAGAAGGAAGACAAGTCGGTGACTAGGATTAGTAAGGTGTGAAGGGTGGGCTTCCAGATTTCTCAGAAATGTGGATATTGGAGCAGATGTTCTAGAACGGTTGCAGAAGGTGCTGCTTTCATGTTAGACTGAGTAAATTTCCTACTACTCTGTTTCCCACTACTCTGTAGCATTTCTCCACATGGAACAGTTGACTTTTGCTGCCTGATTATATATCCTGGGTCCTGCCTTTTACTCTTAACTGTCTTTCTGAACAGGAAAAGGGAGTGGAGAAAGGAGGTGGACTCTGGAGAGGAAGCTCACAAGCTGCTGGGGTTCACCTAGGGGAATCCAGACATTCTTCTCAGATTTCCTGGGCCCTGAGAACCTTCCAGAAGTAGACTAATATGCAACCACCTTCGGATGCTGATGGTGGCCTATCTTTCCCAATGGAAAACAAATAACATCTTGTGGGGTGGGCAGGGAATGCGTGAGATGGTAAAATTGCTGCTTTAACAGTGAATAGGGAGTTTTTTGTGTACTTACATTGTACTTTCTTCTTTTGTCTTTCTTTTTTTCTCCCCCCACCCTTAATCTGCTTTTGCCCTGAAGCTACTCCATTCGCCATTCCATAAGTATGCCTGCTATGAGGTAATGTGCATAAATTATTTTGCATAATATTAACACTATATGTATATGAAGTGTTATCTTACTAATGCTTACTTTGTGCCTTTTCTCCCTTTTCTGTGAAAGGAAGTATGACTACCTACCTCATTCTCTTTCTCAATGTCTTTCAGGAGTAAAGATTGACAGAGAATTCTGTAGAACTATGGTGTAATGAATGAACAGGGATTTTAGATCAGACACATAATTTTAAAATCTCTCTACGTGTGTGAGCTGAGACAATTCACTTAACCTATCTCCAATAGTTACCAACAGATCTCTATTCTCTTACCTGGATACTGAGATAAATCAAACTACTTCATAAGTTGTTTTGAGACTCAAAGTCACCCGTATAAAGTACCTATCCTGGAATATTCCTAGCACTCTGGGAAAGATGTCAACATATTTGTACTTCAGCAAAATTAAATGCAAGCTTAGGAGAAAGTACAAATGAAGGGCATGAAGACCGAGAAGGCTGTTGCTCTAGAAAAGATGACATTAGGAGATTTTTAGAGGTAAAGGTGAGGTACATTTCAAATAATAAAAATGTTGTTCAAATTACTGTCCAGAAAAAAAAAAAACTTCAGAGAAAGACATTCCCCACTTTAGGTTGAATGAATTAGTGATATAATTAGAAAATCAGAGACACTTTAGTACTGCTAATAGTATTACTATATACCATTACTATCTACTAATACTAATAGAGGAATGATTTCCACTGGGAATAGGAATATGAAGTTTGTAGCCCAGTTCTGAATTTTGAAGCCTAAGAAAAGTGTAATTCGTATTATCAGTTTCATCAAGGTAAATGAGAACATGTTTACTGTTCTGCCACAGTTGACCCTTGGAGCTCCAAAGCTGCCTTGCACTCTTGGGCTGCCATGGCAGGGGGCAAATTGGTAGGGGAGAATCAAGGTTTTAGGACCTTCCTCACTTGTATCAGATTGAGCCTTTTCTACTTGCTCTCTATTGTATTATTGTATGAAAGCATTACAGAAAGGGTTCACTTGTTATTGAGAGTTTGACACTATTAAAGGTAAATATTTTAGCACAGTTTAGTTTTAAAATGTGTGCTTTATTATGTATGATGGCATCTTTCTTATACTGAGCTTGTTTGGTTTCTTTGGAAATTTAACCACAGCGTTCAGTTTTTCTGATTTGGTGGCAAATAGAAAACATAGATCCAGGATATGTTTTTCTTTGAATGATTTGATCCAGTATATGTTTTTCTTTGAATTTCTTCCTTCTAGTTTTAGTGCACCCAAACTGATTAGTATGATTTGTGGCACTGAGTTCCTTTACTGGTCAAAATGTCAGCTTGTGTGTCTAAAGAAGGCATGTGGGAACAGTTTGCATAGCTTTACTCTGTGAACCAGGAATCCATTTAATGGTTTGTGGGTCATTGCAGTCATCATAAGCTTGCCTGAAATTTATTTTTGAGAAAATGGCCGGATTCAGACGATGTTTATCCTCAGAGCATTAAGTTGAACTTTCTGTCCATTTTGGTTCTCTGTCACAGGAAATCCTATGAGCAAACTTGGCCAAATAAAACCTACAGAGGAAGTCAGGTGCCAATAAATGTATATTTTGAGTCACTGAAGTGTAATTCATAGATACTTCATCATGAAATAGATGTATCGTGGAAGCTTTCTCATAGGAATTTGACTCAGACTTGAATCATATATAAAATTCTTTTTCCCCCCATTTTTTTCCTTTTTGGGGGGGGCATACCCAGATGAGCTCAGAGTCTATTCCTCACTCTATGCTCAGAGATTGCTCCTGACGCATGCAAGGCAAACTCCTGTGCTCTCTTTCCAGCTCTATCCCATGCTTGAATGCTTGAACCCTCTAAAACTCACCATTGTTAGTTCATAGAGTCTCCTAAAAAACCATTTCTGACAATCTGAAATATCAGTCTTGGGAGATAATCCCTAACAAAACCACATTTACTCAAAAGTATATTCTCTGTTAATTCTCTCTTGATATTATTAGAATCATACTTCATGATGCCCATACTTTTTAGCCATTTTCCTTTATGAATGTTCTCAGTTTAGTTCATTCCTCTATTTCTTTGGCTCTGAGAGAGAACAGCAAGTGGCTTATAAATATAGAAACATTCAGTTGAATTATTTGACCTGAAAATGATCGCAATTGTTGCTGGAAGTTGACATGGATATAAGATTTAAAATATATCTTTAGTTCAGTTCCTGTTTCTTTAGTTGGACTTGGCATTATTTTTAATGGTAATGATGTCATCAAATCATCATGTGGCCAAATCTAATCTAGAAAACCTAAAGTAGCCAAATGAAGTATCTAATGCTTAAAATAACAAGATGATACATAGATTACTTAACACAATGAATGAGTCACAAATAAAATACCAATAGCCTGCAAAGGTTCTGTCTGGTAAGATAACAAAGAGAAGTATATATCTTCTTTAGGAAGAAAAACCATTTGTGCTTTTATAACTTAAGCTTTAGGGAATAGATAAGTAATGGGTATATTTCAATTTAAAATAATGAAAACACCGACTTTCAGATCACCCCTCAAGAATTAGCAACATGATTATTTCTTAATGCATGGGAGGCAGGGGAACAAATAAACTTAAGAATTTTTTTCCCTCTTGTACTATTTGTCTTATCACACATTTACTGAAATAAATAACTTTAATTCAAGTGGAAAAACCTCAAACATGATATTCTTCAGACAGACTTTCCAAAGTTTATAAAAAAAAAAATCCCAAAAACAAAAACAAAACTGAGTTGGAAAAAGCATTCAATCCTGCTTTTCATACCTTTGATTCACTGGAGATAATTTATTGTGTACCATAACATTATTATAATTCTGTATTACCAAACACTTTGTTATTTATTCTGTGGTTGGGTATCTGTTTTACTTAGAAAGATAAACATTAGCTTCAGGTTTCTGAAACTTACCCAGCAATTTAAATATATTTGTTATATTTTTATATTAAAAGAAAAGTTTGTGGACAACCCTGGCAGTGCTCAGCCTAGCAGAGCTCAGTGACATGTACTTTCAAACATGGTTGATGCAGGTACAGCAAGCTGACAGCTGATGAAGAGGTGATATTCACAAATAAGGGCAGAACATCAGATAGCACAGGTTGCTAAGACAGAAGGTCTTTGGAGCTGATTTCTCTTTCTTTATTTTAGGAATTCTCCTACTTTCAAATCTTTTGAGGAGAGGGTTGAGACAACTGTCACAAGCCTTAAGGTACAGATGAAGTGAATTTTGTGTCATTGGGTCACTGAATCAGGACAGCGTAGTTGTGGCTGCCATTAATTCGAAAGGCAGGTCTGCAGCATTCCCTGCAGTCAAGAAGAAAAGCTTGCATGTCAGACCTTTTCTTCAACTGTATTAAAACTAAGATGGGGGAGCACTGCTGTGTTTTATAGAGATGTTCAGATCAACATTCAGGGGTGAACTGTTTATCAGCATAAATTAGGATCTGTGATCATCTCTTAACTGCTTTAGAAATCTTAAGCAAACCAATCCCCTACCTCCACTACCTCCCCCCTACCCCCAACCCCCGGCCAAATAGGTGAGAGAGGACTTTGGGCAGGACAGGGGAAAGGTGAGTTCTGAATCCAGGTGAAAAGGTCACTATAATCTCAGTTTCTCTGGTTCAATCATGGATTAAAAGAAATAAATTTAGTTCCATGTATTACTCTACCATCTACTCATATTAGCTACCTAGACTTAATCACTCAACTCACATACTGAGCACAGCAGGTATCACAAAAGGAAAAGAAAGTGGAGTCTCAAATGTGTTCCTTTGTAATAATGTATTTGATCCTTGGGTATAAACAGAAAGTATGTTATTACAAAGCAGGTGCCAAAAAAGAATTCATTCAGTTTATGGTTTGAGAATTAGTCTACAGAAAGAAAAAGGACAAAAATAAAATCAGTCTCAACCCTAAAATGCATTGAACCCTTAAGTCAGAAAAAAAAACTGACTGAAACTACTCAGATTATTTTTTACCCAAGACTTAATTATATCTTGATACCATTATCATTATTTTATATACAATTCTATTTTGTATTTCCTACTGCTGGGATAATTATCGGCTCATATAATCTTTAGTCAGATCAAAGTGGATCTATATCCACACAATAATTATCCAGCTGCACTTGAATTCCATAAATTATTATTTACTAAAGGGCCTACCTACAATTATTGATTTTGTCCTGGAAGACTTGTCCCTTTGGGGGAGGATCTTTCACATATTCTTCTACTTCTACTTCATTAAGCCTCTGATTAGGCCTTTAAGGCCTCAGACTGACACAGTAACTCGTATTTACCATACTTTCATTTATTCTAACACCTACTTGTGCCATTTCATTATCCTGTTTGTCAATATCATCATTTATTGAGTGTATAGGTACAGATATGAGCTATTAAATCACCTTCATCTGTCAGGAAAACTTTCAATCAGGAAGTACACGCAGTGTCACCATGTTTTGCTAGACGATCTAGTATCAAAATACTAAAAAAAAAATGCTGAGCTGGTTTCTCTAGACAATCCATGGATTCTGTTGTTTGTTAGACAAGGTCTGACACAGGACAAGTTGTACTTTTAGGTTTTCTTTAGAAGAAGAAGATATGAAGAAGCAAAAGAAGAATAAAGAACAATCTATTATCATTTCCTTTTAGGAAACCCTGGTAAGCTCACAGCTCACATAAGATTAAAGTGTTTGATCCACACTCTCAATCTCTTAACTTTTATACTTTACCAACTGGATACTAGCCAATGTCAAGATTTCCTGAAAATCAATTACATCAATGACTGCATGGCCGCTCTTAGTGTTAACAGAACTCACAGCTCACTTCTTTACCTCTTGTCACAGGAGAGGCTAAGGTCCTCTTTTTCTCCCCAGCCAGACAGTGGGTAGAATAGCAAATAATTGTGCTTTATGTAAAACCACTTATTTCTTTGATAATTACAAATTTCTGGATCCTTTCCTTTTCTTGACTAAATAAATGTATACGCACAACATTAACAGATCAAATAACAAATTTTGTATAAACAAATTAACAGAGACATAAATTAACAAAATAACAAACTGATATATGATAGTAATGGATATATAAAATGTGTGTTTTCTGCAAAGTTTATTTTTGTGTACAGAATCTCCAAATCTTCTATTTCTTTTTACAATGATCAAACTTGAGGCAGTTTTCTTCATGAACAAATAGGATAAGTGAACTTCCTTATAGGTTTCTTTGCAGCCTATATGACTTATGACTTTAAGCTTGATTTTTAAAATACCACTTAAAGGGAATCATGTTCTTTTGTGTGTTTGTTTGTTTAAGAAATAACATTATGCTGTAAAGCATGGTCTACTCCAGACATCTCCAATCTATCACATACCATGTGCCATTTATGTGCAATTGATAGTTCTTTTTGCATATTTTCCATATAATTTTAATGAATTAGTCATAAAAAATTTAGTTTTTCTACCTACATTCTTGTCACCCACCAATACATTACCAGATGATATCTCAGCATATTTTGTGCTCCATTAGACAAATAAAAATAAAAGTAGACTTAGACCCTCTGATTTAATCATATTTGATTATTCTACCATGTTTAGTAAGTCATGAGTAACTACATCCCTTCTAACTGTTCTGTACCCAGAAGTAAGCAGGCATTTTTGTCTATAAATACACATACTTTTTGATGAATACGTTGCATAGTATGAATCAGACCCTCAAAAAATAAAAAGGCAAGATACATTATACTTATTATTTCTTTGTGGTCTTCCTGCCAGCCATTTTTTCATGAGATTTAAAAGTCTACTCAGTAATTTAAATAAAATTTTATGTTTAAAATCAAGTATACTATATACAAAGTGACAAATTCTTGAATGAGAAACCATTATGTAGAGAGATCTTAAAGAAGTTTATTATTCACACATCTATTTTTAAATTAATTTGTAGTGAGATAGTTACAAAGCTGTTCATATTTGGGTCTCAATCATATAATCCACCACCAGTCCCTTCAGTGTACATTTCCCACCACACATTTGTAAGTGAGTCCTCGACTAACGTATCATAGTGTGTGGCCATTAAACTCAACCTAGTTAGGAAACTCTTTATTCTACTCTTTTCTTTACCAAGTTGTTTTAGTAGTTCTCTCATTTTTTGTTTTTCTATAAGGGTTTGAGAAAATCAGAGACTAGAAGGAAAAAAGGGGAAAATCCAGAAGAAACCACCAGTAATTGACTCACTAATGTATGTGAGAATGTAAAAGAAAATGTAAATTTTAAGAGGAATATAAAAGTAAAAGTAAAGGCCCTCCCGTTGATCATCGATTTGCTCGGGCGGGCCCAGTAACATCTCCATTGGAGACTTTGTTGTTACTGTGTTTGGCATATCGAATATGTCACAGGGAGCTTGCCAGGCTCTGCCGTGTGGGCGAGATACTCTCGGTAGCTTGCCAGGCTCTCCGAGAGGGGCGGAGGAATCGAACTCAGGTCAACCATGTTGGCTGCGTGCAAGGCAAATGCCCTACCGCTGTGCTACATTGTTCAGGGGCTGGAGCAATAGCACAGCGGGTAGGGCGTTTGCCTTGCACGTGGCTGACCTGGGTTTGATTCCCAGCATCCCATATGGTCCCCTGAGACTGCCAGGAGTAATTCCTGAGTGCATGAGCCAGGATTAGCCCCTGTGCAACGCTGGGTGTGACCCCAAAAACAAAATAAATGAATAAATAGTGAGAAAAAATATTGGAAATTTAAGAAAAAATAGCATTGTTCACATTTAATCACTCTTCTCTCATTTTTTGAATAAATGAGTATAGTGAGAAACTACATGGTTGAAAACAATCTCATTTTCTAAGATAACAGAGTGGAGAGAATCAGTGTTCCATGTCCATAATCTGCACCCTAAAATTTCCCTGCCAAATATAGCTGATTGCCTATTTTTAAATGACTTGTAAGCTAATAATGGCTTTCACATTTTTTATTGCTTAAAAAAAATCAAATGTAGAAAATTTTATAACTTGAAAACATTGAATCACATAACATTTTACATTATATATTTCTATGGTTTTGGGGGATACAGCCATACTCATTTACTTTACATGTTTTTGACTGCTTTGAGCACTTGTGACAGAAATAATGTGGTTCCTAATCTAAAAATATTACTATTGGGTTCTTTCTAGAACTAGTTTTCTAAACCCAGGCAGAAAAAGGAAGTTCTGTTTAGCTATGAATTTGAAGGGCTAAGGGGGGGTTGATGACAACTGGAGAAATGCATGGTTTGCTTTTAAATGAACTGCCTTTAAGTCAGGATAGGTGTTTGGGTTTTTCTGTTTTTTTTTTTCCTTTTTGAAGGGCAGGTCAGGTAGAATATGCCCTAGTGAGATTTATGAGTGGTCATTTGGGAACAGTAAAAGCAGTTTGGGAATGGCAACATGATTATTGAGTCCACACCTCTTCTCCCTTAATGTACATTGTTAATGATCAATGTGACCATTAGTAAGACTGGCATTAAGTATTTTGGACCATCAACTATGCCTTTGAAGGACTTTTTTAAATGAAGAACTCTCAAAATACTTCCCCACATTTCTTGATTATGGATTTTTTTCATAATTTTATTCATTAGCCAACAAGTACACAAAAAAGGGAACCTGGACAAATACCATAACTTCACTCTTCAAAGAATATTCCTCCTATTAAAACAACTGCCAGAAAGTATGGAATCAATGCTGAAGACTTGATTCTCTTTCAGCTTTCATAGTGACCAGAAATCATGTTTGCTTGAGCCACTGTCCCTCCACCTTTTCATCTCTCAGAAAGCCATCAGATTATCTTGCTGAATCCTAGGTAGAAGTCTTAAATTGAAGTCGCTTAAAAAGTATATACATTTGTCAATGTGGGGGGTGGATAATCATTTCATTAAATGGGTTCTCTGTGTAAGTACAGATCCGCAGATCTGGGTTAACTCCTGTAAGAGGGGTGGAAGGGGTGGAGGTCTAATCATTGTTCAAACCTAGTTTCCAATTCTCTCTCAGAACCCAAGCTTGACTTGACCTTACTGTTTCATAGGAAACTACTTTATCTTCTTTACATTCCCTCTCAAGAAGTGTCATTTCTGAACTTGAAAGTATTCAAGCTTTTCCCAGTCTTGTTAAAAAAAAAAAACTAAAGAAACACCTCAACATTGCAGAACTTGAGAACTTGAGTATCTTAAAACACCCCATTGTATTTTTTCAGACGAAAGTAGGCGGAACGAACCAGGGCAGAGGGAGCTTCGAAGAGGTGCTCAGCTCTACTGCACATGCCAGTGCACAGAGCTCTACCGGCGGCCCTCTGCGCAGTGATGAAGAGCTGAAGTGCTAGAATCTTCCCACCCCGCCGTGCACCCTCACGTGAAAACCCTGGCCTCCACTCTGATCTTCAAATGCCCCCGCACTACCACCGACGAGTAAAATGATTTCTATCTGCGTTTGTGTTGCTCATGAGACACGCCTGACCATCGCACTCTTGAGTTTTCACCCATTGTCAACTTTTCAGATTGGTCCCCTGGATACAAAACAGGGCAGAACCCACCTCTGTGTCATTCAACAAAGGGTTTCCCACCATAGCTCTTAGTTTTGGTTCCTGGTGTGCATGTCTTGGAGGGCATTCCCGTTCCTTCAGTTCCATCCTTTCTGCCAGGATGGAGCGCTCACCATCTCCAAAAATGGCAGTACTCACTGCACACGTCTTCCGACTGCTTGTGATCCCTTGCTCACATCAATTATGTACGTTTATTTAAGAAATTAAAATTAATTGGTTTTAATAACGACTCTGAATTCTTAATTTAAGTCTTCAGGGGTATGGCTGAACTTAAAAGGGGGTGTCTGGGTGTCTGTGATTCTGCAGATGCTATATTTAAGTCAGATCCTGCTGATTTGGTGATGGGGAGGGGTTGAGATGTAAGTAATTGTAAATGCAGCTTCCTTGAACTGCTAAACTATCTCCAGTTCCGAACATCTCTTTGATAGACAGTAAGTAGTGAACTCAGAAAGGAGGGCAAGTAAGTAGAAACCAGAGGGCAAGTAGAAACTAGAGAAGTGAAGTTCTACATTCAACCCCTTTCTCCTGAATAACATACCATCGGAATATAGTCTGATTTCAGGAGTCGCCCTTAATTGCATTGCTAGATTTTCTTTTCTAAGTGGTATCATTCATTTGTTACTACGGAGCAGAGTTACATCCTACAGATATATTTTTTTAAATGTTCAGTGAAGAGGCCTAGAGACTAAAGTTCACAATTAAACATCTCTATGTATAATCGACATTATAGAGCTGTAATGTATTTTTATGACAATTACTCATTTTTAATTATAGAAGAGAACTGGATTTGTGACTCTTCCATAAAACCAATCTAAACAATTCTATTCAGGCGAATACAGCACATCTAACTGAAGATTCAGGTCACGTGATCACTAAGGCCTGCAGTCTTAGTGATACTTTGGGGCAATAAACTTAAACCAGAGCAGACAAATATGGACACAGAAGCCTAGAGAGTAAGAATCCATATCCTTAATGTATCCATCTAGACTGTGGATTTAAGCCAAATCCCGTTCTGGGCGGTTGCTTTTACCTGCTGTATACAGGTACTCAATCTCTGTTACAGTCTGCAGCAGCCTGCGACATTTGAAATGATCTTCTGTAAAATCACATGTACCTTACTGATCACATGTAGCACACAGTATAAATAAAGTCATGTTGCCATGAACAAATGTTTTCATTCAACCATCTTCTGCACACAACTGTTTCAGAGTTACAATCTGAAAATAGCACAATAAAATTGGATACAAGAACAACTAAGAAAATGAGCGCTGGGAACGTGGCTCAGTGATGGAGCACATAAATGCCCAGCACATCCGAAGCTCTGGGCTGGATGCCCACCACCATGAAAACAGAAAAGAAAATTAGAGCGACAGTCCCAAAATTTCACGTTCATTTTATCCACTTGTAACTCTTCAACAATTTTTATTTCTCAATTTTTTTAAAGAATTATATTCATATCCTAATAATTGAAAGAAAAAAATTTAAATTATATTTTGGCAGGGAGTAACATAACGGCCATGGCGTGAATAGTTCTTTTCCATTTTGTCATAAATTATATGTGAATAAACTATATCACTTCAATGAGCTAACAAATCGGTTGATGGTAGATGAGTCAACCTTGTTTAGTTTCTTTTTCTCACTCAACAGCTGTTTTTTCTCTCACTACATGTACAAGTTCATTCCAACTTCACTAACTGCCTAGTTTCTCTTTTTTTGTCCTGCTGACATCAGTTTACATGCTGTAAGTTATATATTCCACAAGTGCTAAAAGCTATTTGCACAGTGCAAATGGATATAACCTTTACTCACAAATCAAAATGACTCAGTTCAAGGTTATGAATACAAAAATGATAGCAAAAATCAATAACAAAATGTATCTCAGTACATTGCAATCAAAATTCAGTCTAGAATCTGAGTGTCAGTTGTGGTTATACAATAAACTCATAAAAATATGTAGATTTTGTGATGTAACCATTTACCACTTTTTAAATGTTATCACAACGATGGGCAACAGTCATGTGTGCTGAAACTTGATCTTAAATTCCTATCCTATAGACTGACTTCTAGTAGGTCACATTCCCAAAGAAATAAACATCTTAAATTATGTTTCCTTACAGACTTCATCTTAAACCACAAATGAAACAACTTTTTTTTTTTAATGAAAAAAAGTAAAGTGAAGTAAAGGCCCTCCCGTTGATCATCGATTTGCTCGAGCGGGCCCAGTAACGTCTCCATTGGAGACTTTGTTGTTACTGTGTCTGGCATATCGAATATGTCACGGGGAGCTTGCCAGGCTCTGCCGTGTGGGCCGAGATACTCTCGGTAGCTTGCCGGGCTCTCCGAGAGGGGCGGAGGAATCGAACTTGGGTCGGCCATGTTGGCTGCGTGCAAGGCAAACGCCCTACCACTGTGCTATCGCGTTAATGAAACATTTTTATATGTCATGCCATTCATAGTGATTACCATGAAGAGAACACTAGGAATCTAAACTACTATTCTGTCACTGTTACAAAATTACATACAAGCTTGAGAGTTACTGGGACTCAGTATAAAAAAAAAATGGTGCTGTGAATTTTAACTATTAACACTTTCCTCTTATCAAATTGAAGTTTGAGTGAGTGTGATAAGGGAAGATGGTAATTATGGTCTTAAGGTGCTTAAAGGCTGCGGACCCTAAAGTCACCATCCAGTTAAAGAAATTAACTCCTGCTGTATCACCCTATTTAAAATTTTAAAATTCCTGGATAACATGGTGGCATTTGTGGCCATGTGACATTTCACACTCTATACCACTGATGCATCAAGCGTAGCACGCCACATTTGGTAGGGTGTAACATAGAAGGCAATCAATCTCAATTAAAAAAAAAAGTGCTAATTTATATAGGCTCAACCTTTAACAACATGTTAGTAATCTGTTATACAAGGGCTTAATAGCTCCAGGATGAGAAACAACAATGTTCACACACTTTCCTCTAAGGAAACTTTTTTGGATCATTTTTAGTGGATTATTCATAACAAGCAATACAAAATAAATTATTTCAATTCTGCTTGGGGGGGACAGGGTTTGGGGTTCGGGATGGAAATATGGTGGTGGGAAGGTGTAATGGTGGTGGGATTGGTGTTGGAATATTGAATGTAATAAATTATTGTGAACAACTTCATTAAAAATAAAATTGAATTATAAAAATGAAAGAGGTTCGGAAAGATAGTATTGGAGATAAGCCTTGGAGACTACTGACCTGGTTCACTCCCCAGGATGGCCTGGTCTCACTGATACCTCCACAAGTGACTCCTTCACACAGACAAAGCCAGGAGTAGCCCAGGAAGACAGGACCCCAAACCATACCCCCTAAAGCAGTGCTTTTAAAAAGAAATAGAAAGTGGGTATTCAAATAAAACTTCAAATGGGGTACTAAATAAAACTTCAAATATTTGGCAAAATTACACAGTTAAATTTTTTTTTTTGTCATATCAGGTGGTGCCCAGGACTTACTCCTGGCTCTGTGCTCAAGGATCACTCCAAGGAGGGCTCCAGGAACCATACAGAATGAAAGAGATCAAACCCAGGTTGACTGTAAGCAAGGCAAATGTCTTGCCAGCTGTACTCTCACTCTAGGCCTGCATGCTTAATTTTGACTACTCATTAAGAATGGTCACTGTCACTGTCCTCCCGTTGTTCATCGATTTTCTCAAGTGGGCACCAGTAATGTGTCCACTGTGAGACTTGTTGTTACTGTCTTTGGCATATCTTATACGTCATGGGTAGTTTGCCAGGATTTGCTTTGTGGGCGGAATACTCTCGGTAGCTTGCCAGGCTCTCGAGAGGGGCGGAGGAATCGAACCTGGGTTGGCCATGTGCAAGGCAAACACCTTACCTGCTATGCTATCACTCTGGCCCATTAAGAATGGTTAAAGTCTTTATTTTACCTTTCTGAAAAAGTTGAACACTTTCAGGTTATACCATAAAGGAGTATATATCAAAGTAAACAAAAAATAACCATGTTTTCCACAGAAAAACATTCTAGTCTCTATGAATACCAAGACTGGAAAATGACCTAAATAAAGTTTTAGGTATTAGATATAGAAGATGCTTTATTACAGGGTTCCTTCCCCCTTGTGCCCCCCTCCCCCCACACACAGGTCATGTATCAACCTAAGACTTTGAACATTCTGGAATGGACATATTTCAAATACCAGGGACACTGAGAATTATAATAGCTGGTGAAATGCCAGTCCACAGAGGAAAACACAAAATGATTTTTTTCTTTGAATTAAATCTAAGAATAATCATTTACTCTGCATTAAAATGATAAGGTGTATTACTTAGAAGAACAATTCCAGATACATAATATGTAACTTCTGAGATAAAAAAATTAAATGATAATGCTCAAATATCCATAGAAATTGACCAGGTGAAGATAGTATTTTCTTCTGGTGATTTTCAATTTTGTTCTTATTAAGTAATATTTATAGCACCATAATATTTGTTTTAAGACGTCACCTTAGTAAGGAAAGTGTGGGTTTGAATGTGAAACTTGACTGGTAGGTAGATGCAAAACTAAAATAATGCTTAAGTGATCAGCATGAATTCAACCCAATAGAGATTTCCAAAGTCTGTGAACTTATGAAAACACAAGGCAAACATTCTCTAATAAAACTCCAGGACTATAGAAATCTGGTTATATTTAAACTGCATCTGGGCTTATTTTGTGTGCATGTCCTCATCCCAGGAAAACACAAGTACTGGTAGACAGAGCTGTTTTCCTACTAATCACCCCTCCAGTAAAAGTCAAGCTTTACTAATGTTTAACCACTTTTTTTTTCCCTGGTGGAACATGATTTCTATGCAGAGCAGCATTGCCCAATTCTGTGCAGACCAGCTCTGTACATATGTGTGCTGCTTCGGAAGAGACCATTCACCTTGCTTCCTGCAGAGTGGGTATCCATGGATACTGCTAAGAGTTTCCAAAGAAACGCTGCCTAGAATTCTCTCCATGCCAGCCCAAAGGCGGTTTTCAAATGAAAACTGACACTGGAATTAAAGAGACAGGTATCACTGTCCCACACCAAAATATGGGGGCGGATTTGCACAGACAGTTTTTCATTTCTCACGGTTCAGCAAACATTCAGAATTTACAATCAAGCAGGGTGGATGTCTTAACATCTTAACCTGTAACAAGGAAATGTCTCACAGTCAGGTCTACTGTGTAATCCCAGCATGATCATTTTGTCTTGTTTTGTTTTTGTTGGGGGGGGGGGGAGTGCACAGCCAGCGATGCTCAGAGGTAACTCCTGGCTCTGCACTCAGGAATCACTTCTGGTGGGCTTGGGGACTATACAGGAAGCCAGGAATCGAACCTGGGTTGGCTGTGTGCAAGGCAAGCACCCTGACCTCCGTACCATCCTCTCGCCCTGCCCACCACAATCTTTTATTAAGTATTTCATGCCTACTGATAAATTTTCCTATAAACATGTCCTTAAGACTTACAAATCAAAGAACAGAAAGTAGGAGAGGAAGACCTGTGGCACTGGAAATTGTATGCCCCAATTTCTATTCCAAAATGATAAAAAAAAGATCAGGGTTAAGGGGTGAAACCTGTTAGGGAAGTTTGTAAGTCTATGATCAGGATCACAAGTAAAATTAATACAGTGATAATTATTTTTACACAGTGATAGTTATTTTTAAAGCATCATTTCATCTGAGGTTAGAACACATTCACGAATCACGATCATCCTGTTATTCGTCGATTTCCTCGAGCAGGCACCTGTAACGTCTCCTTCTTCCTAGCCCTGAGATTTTAAAAGAGCCATATTCAATGCTCTTTCAGGGTTAGGAGAATGAGACCCATCATTGTCACTGGTATTTGGTGTATTGAGTACTACACGGGAAGTTTGCCAGACTCTGCCACGCAGGCAGGATACTTTCAATAGCCGGGTTCTCCAAAGGGAAAATGAGATAATATAACATACGGAGCCGTGCACTTCCGGGAGCTGGGTTTTATAGTCTCTGTGTCTTGCCCATTGATGGGACCAACCTGGTGCTGGCGGCAGCTGGTGGGTGTGATGCCTACCTACTGGAAGATGGGGGATCTGGGTGGAGAAGGCCCAGTCCCAATCCGAGCAGGCTTGGAGATCTATGCCCCGGGACCTGCATGCCTGGGTTCCTCTGCCAGTTCCTTCATGCATGAGACTTGTCCGGACGTGTGGAGAGTGGTCTCAGCATGGCTGTAGCTGGTTCTGGAGGTCTTCGGCTGCTGCAGCTCTGCTAGGGTGGGAGGGGGGAGGGAAACTCAACCTGCCTCCCTCTAAGGTGCCCCAGTGAGGACAGCCAGGCGCGGGGGCAGGAGACATATAATAGAACACATTATATTTAGTTAACCCTCTCAGCCCTTCAGCACAGTGTTCTTATCACTAAGTCAATAGAAGAACCATTGTTACAAGCAATTTTAATTCAACTTTCTATCATTCAATGAAATTTCCTTTTAGGGACAGTCTATTAATTCATAATGATAAAAAAAAATCCCCTTTCCAGGGGCCAGAAAGATAGTACTGGGTAGGGCACTTGCCACACTCATGTCCGACCTGGGTTATATTCCTGGCAGTTCGTATAGTTCCCAAGCCTGCCAGGAATGATTCCCGAGAACAGAATCAGGAGTAAACCTGAGCACCACTGGGTGTGGTTCCCAAAAAACCCCCCAATTTAAAAAAATTACCAAAAATAAAATCTGCCAAATGAAAAATATTAGGAATTTAGTTTATTTGGTTCATAAAACTCCCCACCCCATGGCATTTTCATGACCAGATCCTATTTTCTACTTTTATTGTCCATTTTTTATTCATTTTTCACTGAAATCCAGCAATTAAAAAAAAAACTCACCTCTGGGGAAAAACAACAGATCAACAGTGTCAAAACACAATAGCATAAAACAGAAAAATAAAATATTTGTCACAGTAGCACAGCAACATGGAGCATCATCTCAGGAGTTGGGCTTCCTGGCTATGGCGGCAATGTCAGCATTTCTTTGTGCTTCTAGTTCAGAAACAAGCTGGACTATCTCAGGGTGAGTGAATTTTCCTGCAAAGCAAGGGAGATGAAATATGAGTTTCTTTTGCTTACTCTCGGGGGTGACCAGGGACTCTGGTCCATCATCTGACCTATACTGCCCTACCATGAAGAACTCAATTCCAACTCCTGGAGAGGGCCAAAGAGGATGGCAATGGAGCATATTCTCTGTGACCCAATGTCACAGAACACAGAGTAACACTTGGGCAAACTGCTGATTATATGGGGGGGGTGGGACGGACTCCAACAGGCAGCCCCCCACCAAACTAGAACAGAGTTCAGAGAACTGAAAACAATCCGGGCAAGCAGAACCTGTAATTAGCTCAGAGGCACCAACTACCTACAGAGAAAAGACTAGAAGCAAGATAGGAGAAAGGCTCTCCCAGGATGCAGACAAGAACTCGAAGTCTACCCAGAAACTAACAGATCTGCGCCTCATTCCCTGCTCTCCAGCCCTGCCCAGTTTCTACCCTGGGCAACCGTAACTGAGCTCCAAGCTCTTCGATCAGTAGGGGCTGGGGAGAGGAATGTTAAAGCTGGCATCCCTTTCCTGTCTTCTCTAGCCTGATGCTCACTGTTCATTTCTTATTAAGCTCTGTTTCATGTACTTCCCATCATTAAATCTCTTCACTCAACACTCTCTTCACTCTTGCTCGTCCCATGGATCCAGCTTACTCTCAAGTTCTCCCATGAGTGGGCATTCTCACACTGCTCTTACCACGGGGCTTGGACCTATCCTCAGACTCTGCTCCTTTCTGCTATCAGCTCATCCGCTACCCAACGGAGTCAAAATTCTGCTGTGAGACTTGACTATAGACTCCTTTTCCAGCTGCAATCATCTACATGTCCACAAACCTTTACTCTGGAAAACTCTAGCTTCAGTTTCATGCTCACTCACAATTTTTAGTGATTAGGAAGTTGAAGAGCCTTTCAATAACTCAACCCGTTCATTCTGTGGCCTCCACTCCCACAGAAATATTCTCCCTCCTTAATCACTTCTTCCCAGAAACATACTACAATTCATCTGTAACTATTTAAGAGGATAAAACTGCCTCTGTATTTGTATATTAGATCCCACCGCAGCAATCTGCACACCTCCTTATTTCCCTGATTATGTCTATCAGCAAATAAAATATCTGTTTATCTTGTCTTAAAAACACTCACTTGGCCATGCATCCCTCTCGAGCCTACACTCCCCTTTAAACAAATTCTCAAAAGGACAGTTTATACTCACTGTCTCATTCCTTTCCTCCACCTTTTTTATTTAGGAGGTAAACTATCTCCTATACAAGACATAATGTTTTAAGTCTGATGGCTATCTATACTTTGCTTCTTGAAGCACCCTTCTCCTTTTGCTCCGGAGACTCCTGATTTTCTTCCCTCACTATTCTTCCCCTCTTCTCCATCTAAATGAAACTCGATCCTTCAACTTGCTAGCTCAATTCTTGGATGCCCCACTACAAATCCTAAGGACTCTCCTCAAAGGATTCAGAATCTGACCACTTCTTGCTTTCTCTACTATCATCCAAATGACTGTTTCCCACTTAGATACTACAGCAGCCGTCACTGTTTTCCCTCCCTTCCAACCTAAGTAGTTCTTTCAAGATACAAGTCAAACCATTAGTCTGGTGCTTCACATCCTGCAAAAAATCCTCACCTCAATCAGAGAAGAAACTAATGTTCTACACTGACCTCATTCCACTTTTCCAGGTACATCTCCCACATTCTCCCATTTACTCCTTTAGCTCCATATTGTTTCTCAAAACATAAGATTCAAGAGGTTTTTTAAGACAGAAAATCGCCACTGAGCTGTGATTGATTCAGAGAAATTCTTAGTATTATCAAGTTAAAATTTATAAATTTTCAAAATTCTCATGATGAGTCTATTTTTACCTCTAATTGGCTTTTCCTTCTTTAGGAATTACTGAGAAAAGAAACTAGTTCTTACATCAGTCACATTATTTTTTAATTTTTAAAAAATTTTTTATTAGTGAAACACCATGAGATACAGTTGCAGACTTACAAATTTTTGTGCTTGGGTTTCAGTTATACAATGTTCGAGTACCCATCCCTCCACCAGTGCCCATTTTCCACCACCATGGGTCCCAGTATCCCTCCCACCCCGCATCCCCCCATCCCACCCTGCTTCTGTGGCAGGGCATTCCCTTTTGTTCTCTCTCTCCTTTTGGGTGCTGTGGTTTGCAAAAGAGGCATTGAGTGGCAATCATGTTCGGTCTATAGTCTACTTTCAGCATCCATCTCCCATCCTGGGAGGATCCTCCTAACACCCTTTATTTTGGTGCTCCCTTCTCTATCTGAGCTGCCTTTTCCCCTAGCATGTGCAGCTGGCCTCCAAGCCATGAAGTAAACCTCCTGGTAATTATCTCGGCTATTCTTGGGTGTTAGTTTTAAAATACATATTGTACACCACAGTGAAATGAACAGTCACTCTATCTATTTTTATACATTGCATTATGATCACCCCCAAAAGTCTAGTCTCCATTCATCCCCAGTTACCCAGAAGGTACAGGGACCCTTTATCTCAATTTAGATATGGGCAACTCACGATCTGATTGGACTGAGATTTAAGTTCCTCGATAAAATATGGAGTTAAAACTAAGTGATTCTTCCATTTCCCACATTTTTTGGATTCTGCTAGTATTCTCATGTTTCATTTTCTATTTTCACTGTGAATGTATCAAAACAGAAAAGTGTTAAAATGAAATTTATATTTTAGTTATAATAGTGAACATGCTAGTTTTTAAACAACATCATTGCTTACAGCAAAGAGCCTGGAAAGAAACCTTTGCCTCAAAGGGTCAGAATATAACTGATGTATTGTGGGCTACATGGGCTCTTGAAATTACTCAACTCTGGTGAATAGCAGCTTGAGTTATATACAAAAAGAATGAGTGGGAGTATGGTTGCTTCAGTGAAACTCTGCTCACACAACAGGGAACAGGTTAATTTGGTTCACAGTTGGATGGTCCCTGGTTTCTAACAGTGTTCTATATAACTAAAGTGAAAAATTCTTCAGTACTTATTTCCACTAGTGACCTTAGCTTTCACGCTTATTATCTGGTGAAGGGGCAGGTGGGGAAAGGGAGGAGAACCTGTTAGGAGCATCGCTAAGAAGAATGCAAGTCTGAGTGTGACAGGATGCGGCAAACTCAAGATCAAAAGCAAACTGAGCATACATAAGGGAATATTTAATGCTGACAAGGGGTAATAGGAAAGGAGATCTAAGGACCTTCACAATGGAGGAATGACCTTGAGACACTGGGACATTTGTAGATTACTACTCAAAAACCTCAGAATTTTGGTTTTTTTGGAAGAGGAAAGTCAAAATGCTGTGCTTCTTTGTATGTCTTTTAAAATGGAACAATAGCTCTGTCTACAAGAAAAGGAGTTTATTGATACAGATGGGATGAACTAAAAAATGGGACAATAGGTCTGTCTAAAAAAAAAAAAGAGCTTATTGACACAGATGGGATAAACCAGCCATCTTGATGAGGTCAAGGTATAAGTTAGTTTAGTTCAATAAATCTATACAGAACTCATCTATAGATAATGGGACTAGAAGAGAGAGGGGGAAAAAAGAATATAGAATCAACTTGATTATCATCTAAATCCTGTAGAGTTTCTATTTACTTTTTTTTTTTTAGGTCACTCTGGCTTCTGAGACATTCCAGAAAGGTTGTCTCTAGCAGGACTGTCCTGGGGGACAGAGGCAGAGTTCACCTGAAGAAGTCCCAGGGGCAAGAGACTAAGTTTTAGTCCTACGTTTTTGGTTGTTGTTTTGGTCCACACCCAATGACTTATTCCTGGTTCTGCAATCAAGGATCACTCCTGAGTGATACAAGGAACAACATGAACACCAGCGCTCATTAGTAGAGCCATGTGTCTCCTCACTCTGAAACAGATGAAGACAGAGCTTATTTCCAGGTAGAGTCCTAAATACTTAATATGAATTAACTCTAGGTTATACTGTCCTCTTACCCACACCATCACAAACTACTACACTATATCCTCCAATTACCTTATCAGCTAGATTGTGTAATGATTCCCATTTTAAAGATAAGGACACTGAGGCCTACAGATGTTAAATGACTTACTGCAGATTACCTGGACTGTATGCAGCAGAATCAAGATTTAAATCCAAATAATCTGACTCTTGGACAGTGCTATAAAGCACTATAATAGTGATTTCAACTATCTGGGATTTTCTTCAAGTCCCTATTTCTTCCTCCAACTTATGTATCTGTGCATCTAAAAATCAACTGCAGGCTACAAAGCATTTCCATATACCTTACCTCTCCTGTGTCTCAAATCTATGACTTAAGTAGGGTGGCTATTAGGAGGGGGCTTAGAGTCTGAGATTTTAGAGGGGGCTCCAGGAGCACCAACTAGCAGTGGGTGGGAGAGGCAGGCCGGGAGCCCAACGCTCACGCTCCAGGGCCTCGCACTCCTGTCTACCACACAATCCCTCCCCCGGCACCCACACTGATTTCCAGATGCTCCCTATCAAAGGGCCAGAAAAGGGTAGCAGCAGTGTGGTTTGCAGAGTTAGCTGCTGTACTAAGATTAAGCCAGACCAAAGTAAAGAGTCACTGAGGACCACATGGAATATACCTGCTGTGGAATCATAGAAGTCCTGCAGCCTCCCGGGCTTGTTCTCCTGGGCTTCGTATTCATGTGCTTGGAGAATCATCTCGCACTGGTCCAGCTGCTTCACAAACTTGGCTTCTGCACTGGACTGGGTCTCGTACTCCTAAACAAAGAGACCAGGAAACTGACCTAATTAGGTCTGCAGTAGAGAGTGCTCCAGGAAAATTCTGATTTTGGTACCTGAAATTCAAGCCACAGTGGAAGGCACATTTTGTGTTAGCCACATCTCTCCATGGCATACAAACCCTCTGCAGAATTTCATGTGCAAACGCACAGCCACAAACTGGCACTTAAAGGAAGAGGCAGCACCCCCAACTTAGCTTTAGGCAGGGACACTTCCAAGCTCTTTTCTTCCTTAATATCTTGTCTTCATTTCCAGTGTTAGTCCTTCATCCACCTGAGGGAGTGGTTTACCTTTGTTTTTGGAACCACCCAGCGGTGCTTAGGATTTATTGCTGGCTTTGCAACGGGAATCACTCCTCCCTATGCAGGGAAACATACTGTGCCAGGATCCAACCTGGGTCGGCCACATGCAGAGCAAGAGCTTTACCTCCTCTACTATTGCTCTGAATCTGTGGTTTCACCTTTTCAGTTTGTTTGCTTTGGGGCCACACTCAGCTGTGCTCAGGGCTTACTCCTGGCTCTGTGCTGGAGATCACTCCTGGTGGAGCTTAGAGGACCATAAGGGGTGCCTGGGACAGAACCGGTTGGCTGTGTGCAAGGCAAGTGCCTCACCCACTGTACTATCTCTCCAGTTCCCTGTGGTTTACTTTTTATTATTTTATTTTTTTATAAAGTTGTTCACAATGGTTGATTGCGTTCAATATTCTAACACCAATTCCACCACCATTACACCTTCTCACCACCATATTTCCATCCTGAACCCCAAACCCTGACCCCCAAGCAGAACTGAAGTAATTTATTTTGTATTGCTTATTATAAATAATCCACTAAAAATAAGACAAAAAAGGTTTCTTGTAAGAAAGTGTGTGGAGATTGTTGTATTTCACCCAGGAGACATTAGGCCCTTTTATGAGACTAGTAACATACTGTTAAAGGTTGAGCCTCGTGTACTTTTATATATTTCCCCCTAAGATTGGTTGCCTTCCCAATCAAATGTGGCGTGCCACTCTTTTATACCAGTGGGTGGGTCTTTTATATCAGTGGTGTATATGAGCTAGGCCCGTCCGAGCATGTGGAGAGTGGCTGTGACCCTCACAGTGGTTGAGTTCTGGAGGTTTTCGGCTGCTGGGACTGACTCTGTTGGGATGTGATTTACTTTTTAAACTTAAACTAATATTCCACCTTATGCTTCTAAAATTATTTTCAACTTCATTTAATGTCCAGCATTTTCCATTCAGTGAATTTCTAACTTTTTCATTTAGTTTTCATTACCACTTACTCTGGGACTCTGCCCTTAGCTTCCAACTAAGGATGATTTCCTCAAATCCTTCTGGGTTAAGACTTGGGGAGAGAGTTAGGACCTAAGAGTTTCCATGCACATGGTGTATGCAAGTGCTGGGCCAGGGAGTCAGTGGAGGCCAGAGAAGGGAAGTAGCTCCTCTCCTTTCCCTCTTCCCACTGGTTCCTCCCTGTGTGCAAACCTGAACAAGAAGCTCCAGGAGATCAGCTTCTTAGGGTCTGAACCTGTCACACAGCCACAAGTTTCAATTAAGGCTATGTAGAATCATTCTTCTATTAAGACCGTAGTGTTCCCAGCAAAGTTCTCATTTGGAATTCTACCCCAGATGTGTTCAGATAATGAACCTGTCACGCTTTCTGGGGAGGTAATGTGATATGAATCACAGAAGGTTGCCTGTGTTTTTTGAGACGCCTTATTCTCCATGAGGCAGTTACTTGTATTTGACAGAGATGACAATCGGACAGGGAAAGCACTCCAATAGAAAGCCAATTTACATCTTATTTCAGTGGCGCTGAAAATAATGGGATTTTTGTTTAGATATTTATCCACACTTACATTTATATATTTGTATTTTAAAAATCCGAGTCTATTACTTAACAAAAAAAAAAAGAAACTGGATACTATGAACCAGTGTACAGATACATTTTACTATAATCCTTTAGTCTAAGAAAGAGAAGAGGTGGGAGGAAGAAAGGAAGATTAAGTTTCTTCCCTTCCCTTGGGGAAAGGTTGGTTCCAACTAACTGTGAAGAGAGAAGAATTTATCTCTGGCATTTGCTACTTTCCTTCCAGGGAATCAGGATCATGTAGCTTTAAATCACCCCCCCTCTGGACCCCAACCCACCTCCCCACCCCCAATACAGTATCTGCACATGCAAGAATAGGGAAACTTATGTTGTTGTTTTACTTTGAGGTCCACATCCAAATGTCCAGAGTGATGCTCAGGACTTGTTCTTGACTCAGCTCAGGAATCACTCTGGGCAGGGCTTTGGGGAAATGGAGAGAAAACCCAGGTTGTGCCAGGCAAATACCCTTACCCCTATCAGCTGCTATCCTGTCTCTCTGGCCCCAGGAGGCCTTTGTAAAAGGGTGCTTGTTAACCCAACTGTATTTTCCATTAACTAAACTTTAGTTAATGAGGAAAGAAAATGTGGAGGTGGGGGCTGGAGGCCAAGGGCAGACAGGGCACTCAGCATTGGCACATGGGAGGGACGGGGTTAAGAAGCATGTTAATCCCCACCATATTAATCCCATTATGCCATGGATTCAAAAGGGATCTGAAACGCGTAATGGTGGACAGGCCATCCTTCTGGGATAACTGGAGAAAAAAATTGCTTACTGAGGTTTGATTTCATACTTCTATAGTATATCAAGATAAATTATAATCAAGGATGTTTAATTGCTTTAAATAGATGTGACCCTCTGGGATGAAAGCTATCTATAGTGGTGAATAGCTATGATTAATGTTTCAGGAATCAATCAACTAGCATTTTCTATGTAACTAGTACCATTCTAAGATCCCTGGTTACAGAATAATTATATTTTCTTAAATCCAAATCAAAACATATGATGTAGAGAGGGAAAATATTCTAAGCATTCTCCCTCTATTTTAATTTATTTGCCACACAATTTGGATGCCTAATAAAGATAGGTATGTATTACTGGTAACCATTTTATAGATGAAGATACTGAAGCAAAGAGGCTTAGTAAATTGCCCAAGGTCACAGAGAAAACAGAAGAACCAATTTGTGCATACTAGAAGTGTGATAGCAGAGCCCATGTAACAGTCAGGGATGTGGTTCAACTGAACGGCGAGTTATTCATGAGCCCCCATGTCCAATCCTGACACAGAAAAAAAAAGCAGTAATAATAATTACAATAATAATGATAAAAAGCAAAGTCATGTAATGATATTGGACATGAGTTTTAAAAACTGAGTTAATATGAGCATCACTGCACTGGACTTAATAGTATTACTCCCAAATCCATCTCCTTGGAATCTATGATTGCCAACTTATTTGGAAATAACGTATTTTTCAGATGTGATCAAGGTAAGTGAACACATTCTGGGTTAAGATGGGCTTTTGCCTAATTACTGGGGAACTGATGAGAAGGAAATCTAAGCACAGACAGAGGGAGAAAAATCATCTAACCCAGAAGGCAGACAGGGTAGGGATGGGTCTCATGCCAGCCCTAGTGTAGGCTCCAATAGCAGCGGGAAGAAGCAAGCAAGGATCCTCCCCCAGAGCCTTCAGGATGGGCATGGCCAACACCTGGATCTTGGGCTTCTGGAAAACTGAGCCATGAGACAGATTTATTTTTGTTTCAAGGGATCCAAGTTGCTAGTATTGCTAAAGCAACTCAAGGAAACTAAGATAGTCTCTTACAAAGGGGAACACCAAGTGGAGGGTGTTTGGAGGATCCTCCCAGGAGGGGAGATGCAGGTTGAAAGTAGACTGGACTGAACATGTTCGCCACTCAATGCCTCTTTGGCTGATCACAGCGCCCAGGAGGAGAGAGAGAACAGGGGGGAATGCCCTGCCACAGTGGCAGGGGGGGATGGGGGGATGGGAGGATGGGGGGGGAGGGATATTATCCTGGTGGTGGAAAATGGGCACTGGTGGAGGGATGGGTATTTGATCGTGGTATGACCGAGATCCAAGCACAAAAATTTGTAAATCTACAACTGTACCTCATGGTGTTTCACTAATAAAAAAAAAAAAAAGATAGTCTCTTACTACTAATAAATAGGAACTCGGAGCTGAAAAGAGTGCTGAGGGCAGTGTGCTTGCCTTGCAGTGGCCAACCTGAGTTTGATCCCTTTTATCCTATATGGTTCTTGAGTACAGGAGTGATCCCTGAGCACAGAGACAGGAGTGATCCCTAAGCATCAGGGACAAAAACAAAAAACAAAAAGTAACTGACAGGATATCAAATAGGGTAGAACTATTAATGCTTGTTCACTTAATCATCATTCTGCTAAATGACAAAGGTAATAATTTAGGAGAGAGGCTCATCACCTAGCTTTGAACCAATTACCCAAAAGACCTTGAACAAGCAAGACTATCCATTCCTTAGTTTTTCTCACATATACAATAAAGGAACTGGAAATGGGATTTCCTTCCATTTTAATTTCACAAAATTCTTAACAGATATAGTAAAGAGTCAAAGGCTCAGTATACGAAATAATTTAGAAGTTATTAAGAGAATAATAAAGTTGTCCCTGCACAGTACTAAAACTACTGGGGGATGGGGAAAATGAGGGAAAGCATATTGGCTCATTAGGGCTGCAGTGAAAAAGGGTCCACAGAGTGACTCTGGCACCAGAAATTTATGTCTCACTTCTGAAGGCTACAAATTGGTGATGAAGGTAATGACAGGATCTTCCTAGAGTTATGAAAGAGAGTTGGTCTGGAGAGAGCTACCTTCATGTGCATGTCAAATTCTCGTTACCTAGATCTGCCGGTGTCCAAATTCCCTATATTTTATTGGGGTGTGCCACACTAAATTAGAGTCCACCCCAATAAACTCACTTTAACACCATTCCCTCTGTAAAAATCCTATCTCCGAACAAGATCATAAAATATTAGAGGTTAAAATTTCAGCATCTAAATTTAGGGGCACATAAGAATTCAACACATCAGAAATAAAGAGCAGTAGTTTATTCTATCAGAAGGTTCGGTAAGCTGGGAACAAGATACACTGCAGAAAGAAAGACTGAAACAGCATGCTTAAATGGGCATGGCGAAAGGAAACCAGGGACAATTCTCCCTTTACAATACAATGTGTGATATTAGACAAATAATTCCCATTTTAGTGTAATGATTTCCAGAAAGCTTAAATATACATGGACACCCCAGTTTTATAGACACTATAAAGAGAATTTTTTAAAAAATAAAAAACCTAGTACATACAGTCTGCTTGGCTCACTCTAAATCTCATACTTCAAATAAAACTGTGACTTCAGAAGTATGCAGATGACTGATGAATTTAGAAGCCAGGCACATTTTTTATGAACACATTTCTTTAATTCTAGCATAAAAATGTAGCGTAGCTTTATATATAATGAGTTCATTTTCACCCTTTTGTTCTTAAAACAACAACATCAAAAAAGCCACCAAGGGGCTGGAGCGATAGCATAGCGGGTAGGGCATTTGCCTTGCATGCGGCTTAGTCGGGTTCGATTCCCAGCATCCCATATGGTCCCCTGAGCACAGCCAGGGATAATTTCTAAGTGCAAAGCCAGGAGTAACCCCTGTGCATCACCAGGTGTGACCCAAAGAGCAAAAAAAAAAAAAAAAAAAAAAAAAAAAGCCATCAATAGGAGAAGAGATAGCATTACTCTGGTTTCATCCCCAGCACTGACTATGGTCCCTCCCCTAGAGCTGGTTGGGGGCTTGAAACCAAAACAAACCAATAAAAAGAATTCTCAAGCCTTTCATAGCACACAAGGGCAGTCCATGTCAGAAAACAACCTCAGGGCTAGAGAAACAATATAAAAGGTTAGGTGGAGCGATAGCACAGCGGGTAGGGCGTTCGCCTTACAAGCGGCCAACATGGCCGACCCGAGTTCGATTCCTCCGCCCCTCTCGGAGAGCCCGGCAAGCTACCGAGAGTATTCGATATGCCAGACACAGTAACAACAAAGTCTCCAATGGAGACATTACTGGGCCCACTCGAGCAAATCGATGATCAACGGGAGGGCCTTTACCTTTACCTTTTAGGTGCTTGCCTTATATGCAGTCGACCCAATTGGATTCCCAGCAAACCCATATAATCTCCTGAGCGCCGCCATGAGTGATCCCTAAGCATAGAGCCAGGAGTAATTCCTGAGCACTGCTGGATGTGAGGGAGGGAGGGACGAAGGAACAGAGGGAGAGAGGAAGGGTGGGAGGGACGAAGGAAACAAGATCACATATATCAACCATCAATGTCCTCCTGTATTATTAATGAAGAAATGTAGCCCACTGCAACTTTTTTAAGTTGTTGGTGGCCTGGCAGCAACAACTCTGAAGGACAGTCACATAACAGGGTGGCTCTGGTGGTGTCCGTCCGTGTGTTGAGATCTTTACCAACTTCATTAACAGAAGGAGACGTTGACAGAATCAAAAATTCTTAATAGTCTAGTCTATTAAGTCCTTTAATGCTCTGAACTAACATCTATCTATTTTTAACAGACAATGTCTTTTTAATTGACTGAAGAATGTTCTTTTGGAGAGATGCTGTTAAAATAGAGTCAATTTTGTAGTAAATTTTAATTAGCCAGTTGGAGATGGCTATGAAAATAGTAAGCACTGGATAAAAATTCTTATAAGACTTTCAAGTCATGAGTCTTCCCTCTTAAGAGGTAATGCATGAAATTAGTTTTATAAGCTAAGGTGCTAGTTTTTTTTTTTCCTTTCTTATGTATAAAATGCAACCAGAATTCATTATTCCCAACTCACAGTGTCCTGAAAGTTCACTTAAAAGTACATACTTTGAGCTCCCTTTTCCCCTAGCATGTATGGCTGGCCTCCAAGCCATGGAGTAAAATTCCTGGTACTAATCTAGGCCATTCTTGAGTGTTAGTCTCCTATTTTGTTACTTTATGTTCCCCAGATGAATGCAATCTTTCTATGTCTATCCCTTTTTTTCTGAGTCATTTCACTTAACATGATACTTTCCATGTAATACCACTTATATGTAAATTTCATGACTTCCTCTTTTCTAACAGCCACATAGTACTCCATTGTGTAAATGTACCAAAGTTTCTTTAACCAGCCATCTGTTCTCAGGCACTCAGGTTTTTTCCAGATTCTGGCTACTGTAAAGAGTGCTGCAATGAACAAACAAGTGCAGATATTACTTCGACTATACTTTTTTTGCCTCTCTGGGATATATTCCCAGGAGTGGTATTGCTGGGTCAAATGGGAGCTCAATTTCTAATTTTTTGAGAATCGTCCATACTGTTTTCCAAAAGGGCTGAACCAGTCGGCATTCCCACCAGCAGTGAAGGAGGGTCCCTTTCTCGCCACATCCGCGCCAGCACTGGTTGCTTTTGTTCTTGTGGATGTGGACCACAACACCCAATAAGAGAGAGAGAACAAAAGGGAATGCCCTGCCACAGAGGTAGGGTGGGAAGGAGGGGATGGGGGTGGGAGGGATACTGGGATCCGTGGTGGTGGAAAATAGGCACTGGTGGAGGGATGGGCATTTGATCATTGTATAACTGAAGCCCAAGCACAAAAATTTGTTAAGTCTACAACTGTACCTCATGGTGTCTCACTAATAAAAATTAAAAAAAAAAAGTATATACTTTGAAACATGTTTCTTTTCTTTCATAAAGAAACCCTCTTACAATAGTCATCTGCATCCGATACTATCTGATTCAGGCTCTGGGCTATAAACCACATATAATTTGTCACATTATTTGACGAGGTTGGGCTGGAGCAATAGCAAGCACAGTGGGTAGGGCGTTTGCCTTGCCCCTCTTGGAGAGCCCAGCAAGCTACCCAGAGTATTCTGCCCACGGCAAAGCCTGGCAAGCTACCCGTGATGTATCCTATATGCCAAAAACAGTAACAACAAGTCTCACAATGGAGATGTTACTATTGTCCGCTCAAACAAATCAATGAACAATGGGAGGACAGTGTTACAGTGCTATTTGGCAAGGTTAAATAATATTAAATAATATTAATAATGATAATATTAAAGGTCCACAAATACTTATCATAAACCTTGAGCTGGAACTGTTTCAGTTTTCAGCAGTTAGAAATTTTAGAAGATAATATGATACATACGTATTAGAGAAAACCTTTAGTGGGACCTAGGGCAGACTCAGTTACCAAATAGTTAAGTATCTCGCCATCAAAACATATTGATTTTCATCTCAGGAAGGATGAGTGGGAACATGAACCAGCCTCCTGTTGACTCAGGTAAAATCTGGCGCTGAATGGGTCCAGGTCAAGTAAGGTTTTTGGAAAAAAAACAAAAAACAAAAACAAAACACAAAACTGGTTCTTTGGGGTTTGTAAATGTCCTGAATGTGGCGTGGAGCATACTGCACAATATTACTCTCATTTCGTAGAAGAGAAACTATTGACCGAAGTTTAGAAAGTGAGTTAAGGGTATGTGGTCACCGGAGCTGGGACCCAGACCCAGGTTCTCTGGCTGTAAGCCCCTGCTCTCTTCAACACACCCTCCTGACTTACAAAGGCTGTTTTGTCCCAACATCCAGCTTAACCAGAGAGATGAAAGCAGAAGCAGGGTGGAGACCTGGGGGTGTGGAGGGAGGAGGGGTGGGCTCTGAAGAGAAGGAAGAAGGACAGAAATGTGGGAGCAAGAGAGAGAGGCAGAGCTATCTATGAGGAAGGAAGCAGGGTAGATCCAGGGGTCAAACAAGGGCTGTGGACAGAGGGAAGTGAGGAACTGCAGTGGGGGTGGGAACGTGGGGGGGAGGTGCTGTTCTTCCTTCTCTAATGAAAAACACCCCAGGAGACCTAGTAATAAGAGCAAGAAGTTGCTACTCCCTCTCTGCATTCCTCGGGGCCCTTCTTCCAGCCAACCACCACAGTCCTTGGCCTGAGCACAACTGACAGCCCTTGTCTGCCCTGGGCTTCCTGCCTGCACTCTACTGACCTAAATGGAGACACGGCCCCAGCCCCAACAATGACAACCCACATTCTTCTCAAGGGTGGAAAGGGCTGTGCTGAGGTGGGGTGGGGAGGGTACAAGGTGAGAGCAATGTATCCCGAAATCCAGGGGCTGCAAGCTAAGCGCCATACCAGGCTTTTTGGTTACCAAAGGAAAGGAGAACAGCAAAGAGGAGGAAGTGTCTATTTGCCATGAGAAATTCCTGAAGCACTTGGGAGGTGGGAAACAGACACAAACATGAAGGACCAACTTAAGAGACAGCTGGTCAAGATCATCTAAGTCAGCTGACACATAGATGAGTGAAACAAATTTCGTTGCAATAAATTAAAAGCTGCCCTTATGTACACTTACTTCCCACAGTCCATACAGCTCCTTTCTGAGATCCTCTGGTAGGAGCTGGGTGATCTGCTTCATCGCCTCCTGAAATTCCAAATCATCATTTTAGTCATATTTACATTTATCTAAGCCAATAACTTATTTACAGAGACTAAATAATGTGCTCCCACTTACATATAGTTACAAGAGGGCAGCAGAATAAATTGATTTATGCTGGACAGTACTAATAAGTTTCTATTGCAAAAGGTAAAACGTCCCACCAAAAATGGGTAGTTATTACTGTCAACATAGAGAAAATTAACAGAAGGCAACAAATCATAGAGGGAAATATATATATGCATATATACATATTTTCAGATATATATATCAAAGCTCACATCACCCAAACTTTAACAACATGTTAGTGATATCCTATAGAAAGTCTTAATGGCTCCTGCCAAAACAGAACAATCTTCACACTGTTTCCTATATGAACACTCTTTTTATAAGCATGTTCAGCAGTTCTTCAAAACAGACATAAAAAAAACATATTCTTTTCGTTGTGTTTTGGACCAGGGATTGGGGTTTGGGAAGGAAACATCCCAAATTTGGTGGTGGAAAGGTGTAATGGCGGTGGGATTGGTGTTTGAATATTAAATGTAATCAAATATTGTGAACTAACTTAAAGGTAAAGGTAAAGGCCCTCCTGTTGATCGCCGATTTGCTCGAGCGGGCCCAGTAACGTCTCCATTGGAGACTTTGTTGTTACTGTGTCTGGCATATCGAATACTCTCGGTAGCTTGCCGGGCTCTCCGAGAGGGGCGGAGGAATCGAACTCGGGTCGGCCATGTTGGCCGCGTGTAAGGCGAACGCCCTACCACTGTGCTAGCCCCACGTTGGGTGAACTAACTTATGAAATAAAAAATTTTTAAAAAATAGAGGAAATTATACGGTAGGCTCACAGACCACATGCTGAAAAAGATTTTAAAGGCTATAAAAGGATAATAACTGTTGTGCTGAGTCCAGTGCAGTCTCCAGACATATAAAGGTGTGGATTGGTATTTCGTTTCATTTATCAGGCTGCAACTGTCCTTGTCATTCTTCCACTCTGGTTACTACATTCCTCCTACTTTCCTCCGCAGACACAATCAGCTTTGAGCAGGAGAGGAAAGACACAGCTGGGTCAGAATCTCCATCTCTTCACACAAACCAGCCATGTGGGAGGCATCGGTCTGGTTTAGCTGAGCAGGAACACCATGGGCAGAAGCCTGAGGCTCAGTCAAAACACATCCAAAAGGGCAGAGAAGACAGAGCATGAAAGCAGAGGCGACTGTGGATTTATTTCTAATCTCTCCTAGTCTCTGCAGTCCCAGAGGCCACCACCATCACCACCTTGTCCTTCACTTTTTGTGTTGCTTCACTATCTTTCTAAAATGCCACAAATATATTTGGGGGACATGTGGTCCACTATTCAATCTCAAACGACTTCAGATTTCTTCATATCTTCATCCTACACTTCTTAATCTATTTCAGGGTTGTATGACCACAGAGGTTAGGTTCTTTGGGGAAAAAATAGCACTGTGGCACTGTCCTCCCGTTGTTCATTGATTTGCTCAAGTGGGCACCAGTAACATCTCCATCGTGAGACTTGTTGTTACTGTTTTTGGCATATGGAATACGCCATGGGGAGCTTGCAAGGTTCTGCCATGCAGCGGGATACTCTCGGCAGCTTGCCGGGCTCTCTGAGAGGGTCGGAGGAATCTAACCTGGGTCGGCCGCGTGCAAGGTAAGCTCCCTACCTGGTGTGCTATCGCTCCAGCCCTTGGGAAAAAATACGGCCATACCACTTAATAGCTCTATTGCAAACCACAACACCCAAAGAGAGAGAGAGAGAGCAATAGCGAATGCCCTGCCACAGAGGCAGAGTGGGGTGTAGGGGATGGGGTGAGGGTGGTGTGAGGGATGCTGGAACCATTGGTGATGGAAAATGGGCACTGGTGGAGGGATGGGTACTCAATCATTGTATGACTGAAACACAAGCATGAAAGCCTGTAACTGTACCTCACAGCGATTCAGTAAATAAATAAATAAATAAATAAAAATAAAAAAGGCCATAAACCACATTGGCAACATAAAGATCCTATACAAAATCAAATAGCTGGGGGGGGCGGGGGTGAATTAAAATCAGAATGAAGCCAAAGATACAGAGAATACACGCCTCACAAACCGAAGCCATGGGCCCAATCCCTGACACCACAGATAAAATAAAATGAAAACAGATGAATTCCCCACTGTTTCCTCCCCTGGGCCCAGGAAATAAAGTAATTAAATGAATAAAATGATACGTAAATGATTATAAATAAAATTAGAGAATATAACCACTTCCTTTTTATCTTAAACTTTTATCACCATTTAAAGTGATATATCCAGCATGAGATTTAGTAACGGATAAATATGTGATCTGACCCAGGAGGAATGGAACAGTATCACTGCCTCTGTCACGTGCGATATTACATTTCTCAAAATGCAGCCCAAGACAGAATTAGCTTCTTGGAGAGCACATCCACTTATTCACTAATTAATAAGCTTCCTGAGAATAAAACTCAGCATGTCCTTTAAAAAGTAAAAACGCAAGAAATAAACATATTGTTGCTCCCTCTCCGAAACTGAGCAATCATTTTCTGGATCTGAGTTCAGTGATTTATTATTTGATGCAACACGGGAGGACAGTGACGGTGACAGTGACAACCAGAATACATTTTGAGACCACTTAGGTAGTCAATATTCCCAACTGGGTAGCGTATGCCAGAGAGTCATGACTATCTTTTTCAAAGAAGCTTCTCGTATTCACCCTTCTCAAGCCCTGGCCGCATGTCGGATATTTGTCAAAATTCTGGTCTAAATTAAGTTTACAGCGAATGTTTTGTGTCAGTTTATGATACCCCAGCAAGTTGTTTTCAGCATGCAGCCTTCAATAGCATACTGCTGAGGCTAAATGGCACAGCAGTGGATTGTAAAATACAGACCCAGGTAGGGTTGAGCAAATTATTTAACCCTTTTTTGTCCTTCAGCTCCCTCAGTTTTAAGATGGGCTTGCTAACGCTATATACCTGAAAGGTTTCCTGGGAGGATTAAGATTAAGTAGCTGACATATATTAAGCATTTACTATCTGAAATCTAGCAGGCAGTCTATAAAAGGTTCACTGTAAACATTTTCATTTCCTCCATCTTGTTACTCACCCCTGCGATACAGTTTGATTCATCTCCTTTTAAACTCTTAGTTCTTTACCAACTTTAACGAGGCCGGATATATACCACCATAATTCTGCCTTCTATAAGTCTTTCCCTTTGTGAGGGAATAAAACTTGTCATTGCCATAATTCAGAACCAAGGTCTAGCCAACCAATTCTTTTTTTTTTTTTAGTAAGTTTTATTGGATCTCGGTGAGAAACAGTTACAAACTTGCATGATTACATTTCAGTCATACAATGCTCGCGTACCTATCCCTCCACCAGTGCACATTTTCCACCACCATTGTTCCCAGTGTCCCTCCCGCCACCCACACCCCATCCACTCCCTGCCTCTGTGACAGGTACAATCCTTCTTACTCCCTGTCTAATTTTGGGCAAATCATAAATCTAATTATGATTTGCAATACAGATACTAAGGGGTTGTCATGTTTGGTCCTCAATTGACTTTCAGTACATATCTTCCATTCCGGGAGATCCCTCCAATCATCCTTTACTTAGTTGTTTCTTTTCCATCCCAACTGCCTTTTCCCCCAGCACGTGGGGCCTAGCAGACCAATTCTTGATAATCCCCATTAGGCATCATGTACCAATTTGGGTTATAATATACAGCTTATTTTATCCTGCTTAGGAAGATCAAATTACAAGTACTGCTTTGACTCCCTAAATTTTCCTCTACAAGACTCTATTTTCCTTTTCATTTTTATTCTCTTCCAAGACAATAAACCTTCAGGATAATAGTATTTTTCCTGCCTCCTACTTCAGTTTACAGCTGTCCTGATGCAGTTGGCTAGCCTCCGGGTAAATGATGCTTCCTGGCTCTCATTATGTGCTTTCCACCTCAAGCCAAAAAATCCTCCTTTAATTATCTTAATGCATGGTTTAGACATCCAAATCTTGTTCATAAACACCATCTGCATAAAGAATTGCTCACTTCCCAGATCCTTTTCTCTCATCCCAAATCCTCCTAACTAGCAGCAGGAAGAGGCAATAGAACATCAGCACTCTTTAAGTCTTTGGCTTCTTATCTAAGAACTGTGGCTCTTGGATGTTTCCCTGACTCTTCTGATGTTTCCCTGACTCTTCTGATTATAATATTTGTTTCTTTGTGAACCAACAGAAGAGGGCAACAGCCAGGAGATTTAATAAGGCCCAGAAGGCTTGCATCCTCGCTTAGACCTGTGCCCAGGAGACAAGAGTCTTCTCTCTGACCAAGTCCCCTTGAGGTCCTGCTCTGAGTTATCAGTAGCCAGGAATCAGCTTTTTTCAGAGTAATAGTAGGTTTTATCTTAATGCCAGGGTTGAAAATTCTCCCTACTGACTTTGGTTTTTTATACAGAAGGCTCCAAGTTGATTTGTGTGAAGGAAACGTCAAATCTAATATCTACCTGCAGAGGAACAATTTATTACACTTCCTCTATGTCACAGTAAAGGTAAAAGGTAAGGTAAAGGCCCTCCCGTTGATCATCGATTTGCTCGAGCGGGCCCAGTAACGTCTCCATTGGAGACTTTGTTGTTACTGTGTCTGGCATATCGAATACTCTCGGTAGCTTGCCGGGCTCTCCGAGAGGGGCGGAGGAATCGAACTCGGGTCGGCCATGTTGGCCGCGTGTAAGGCGAACGCCCTACCCGCTGTGCTATCGCTCCAGCCCATAGTAAGGTCTTTGATAATCTGATTTTCCTTACAGTGTCCAGCTTGACCCTTAACTAAAATTATCAGATCTCCTGAAATGAGTTCTAAAGTTAAGCAGGATTCCTTACTCCTTTGTTTCCTTTATCTCCTATTTTACTCATCACCCTCTAGTTCAGGTATAGCCCACTTTAACAACTCAGTATTTTGAGTCAACTGAATAACTTTCGTATTTATTCTACCAGCAAATCTAGTAATTCTTTACTTACTGGTACAGCACAGACTCCTAAGGAGAAATATTTCTTTAGCTTGCAGCCTTTCTATATGCTTTGATGATTCTTAACCTGCATTTTGGAACTTTATTCAGCAGGAAAAACTCGTTCCTTACATTATCCCTCTTGTTCCCAGTATGTAAAGTGGATTGGAAGTCCAAAATTGGGATTCCCTGTGCATGTTCTTGCTCCTAAAAGGAAAAATGTGTTCGTGTTCGAACACTGAGCTGCATTTTCTCTCAGCTCTGAAGTCCCTGATTTAAACCAATTTACCCTATTAGAACAACTTGATAAAGGATCCATCCATATAACTATTTGGAACCAGTTTCTCTGGCCTAGAATTAAAAGCAGATAGTAATAATTCCTCTATCAGGAGCAACCATTGGCAATAAGAAAGAAAGAGAAAGAACAAAAGAAAGAACAAGAATGCAAGAAAAGAAAGAAGGAAGGAAGGAAGGAAGGAAGGAAGGAAGGAAGGAAGGAAGGAAGGAAACTGAATTTTTCAATATGGGTCAAATATATCTTTCTCTTTTGACACTGGTCTCTGGTGTCACAGAGTCCAAACTGGCAGTGATTCAATATCCTTAAATAATAATTATAGTAATAGCTATACAATTATTTATAGATAACTTTATCGAGATAGAGAAATTCTCTCCAAAGAGCTTAGCTATTGAAGAATTCCCTCAAGTTCCAGCTATTTCCACTGTTTTAATGAAAGTCGTAACACACTGGTCCACAAACTAATGACAGCCAAAATCAATAGCACTTCCCCTCCTGGCATTAAACAAGACTGGAAGCAGGCATACTTTCCTGTTCTTCTGTTAAACAAGGCTGAGAACAAGAGAAAAACCAATGTGCGGCTCACTCCAGGAAATCCTTACTTCTAGAAGATAAGACTGTAAATGACTCAAAATAGAGTAAACACTAATACCTTGCTCTTCAAGACTCTCTGAGACCTTGCCTCATCAGTCCAGCCAATCCAAAGCTATTATGTCTTGAACATTATGTAATTCTTCCAATATTCCCTTTCCTGAGACCTCTGCCCCCCCCACCTCCACGACCCCCCCACCCCCCCGACTCTATTAAGGCCGTATTCTTCCTTACTGCAATGGGTCTAATAAACCTGACTTTACTTCAGTACCATGTTTTTCTGGAGTTAATTGTTAAACTGACCTCTTCTCGCCTATGTTTCTCTTCTTTGGGAATGTTATCTGCCGGTGCTATGTCCCCAACAATGCATTCTGCCATATCGTGAACAAGGGCTAGGCGTAAACATCTGATCAGACAAAAAAAATAAATTAAAAATTAAGTTACAGAATTATAGTTATTACAATTTTCTTCACTATACTATTTTGAAGTTACATAATATGGGTTTTTCCCCCCTTTCATCTTCAGAGTATTTTAATACAGTATTTTCTAAAGTAATTATATTCTGCCAGTTCCTGCAATAGTTACAGATCAAACTACTAGTTAATATTCAACACATTACATGCAGTTCACGTGGACTGTTTAAAACAAATGATTGGTTTCTAAAGTAGGAAATTAAAAAGTTTGATAACTGAAGACTAGAAAGCCAAAACATGATCTGATTATAGTACTGGTTATCAACCTTTTTCCATCTGTGTCAGTCTATGGATCAGCAGCTGAAAAACCACTGCACTATAACATTTAATTACTGATACAAAAATCAGAATTAGAGCTAGAGAGTTAAAAGGGCTTGATTTGCCTGCAGTTGACCCGGATTTCATCTTGAGCAGAAAGCCAGGAGTGACCCCTAGTATGATCCAACACTGCCCAACGTTCCTAATACAGAGATAACTGAAATAATTATATACCAAATATATAGTTAGATGTCAAAATGAGAATCTTTATTAGTTATTTTGCAGTGGGTGTCAGAAATTAAACCCAGGGCCTCTCATACACAAGGTAAGTTCTCTATCTGAACTATATCCTAAGTTCCCTAAATAAAACTCTACTAGAGAATTAGGTAGAGTTGGAGAGATCGGAATTTGAACCTAGCAACCAAAATCAATTAATTCTAATGCTGAGAAGTTGCTGAATTTTTCCAAATGTCAGTTTTGTCATCCTTCATTTTCTCATCTGTAAAAAAAAAATGGGGAGGGGAATGGTGCAAAGCATTAGTCCAGCTTGCCTAGCATGCTGCAGACCTGGGTTCAATCCCCGGCATCCCAGATGGTTCCTCCAGCACTGCCAGGAGTAACTCCTGAGCATTGCCGGGGTGGCCCAAACCACTCCCCTAACCCTCAAAAAAAGAAAAGGAGGACTAGGAAAAATGGTGGGATAAGAACTTCTGGTATAAAAATTAAATTTATTATTTTTTTTCCCTTTTTTTATTAGTGAAACACCATGAGGTACAGTTATAGGCTTACAAATTTTGTGCTTGGGTTTCAGTTATACAATGATCAAGTGCCCATCCCTCCACCAGTGCCCGTCATCCATCACCATGGGTCCCAGCATTATTCAATTATGTTCCTGGAACATGTTGATCATTCAATAAATGGCTATGGTAATTAGTGATAATGATTAGTAATTAGGATAATCAATGTCAAAATAACAAAGGCAAGTCCAGAGAGACAGACCACAGAGGACTGTCTGTTTAATGTTCCCCATTACCAAGGCAATACAAGGCCCAACAGCCTCCTCTTAGAGGCCTTGCCTGCAGCCTTTCTCACCCAGTTCAAATATTAAGTACTTTTAGGTTCATCTCCACATAAGACAATTTTCTTTTTTTTTTTTTATCATTTTTTTTATTAGTGAAACACCATGAAGTACACTTATAGACTTATAAATTTTTGTGCTTGGGTTTCAGTTATACAATGATCAAGTACCCATCCCTCCACCAGTGCCCATCCTCCCCCACCACGGGTCCTAGCATCCCTCCCACCCCCCATCCCCCCCCCCCCCCCCCCCGTCCCACCCTGCCGCTGTGGCAGGGCATTCCTCCCTGTTCTCTCGCTGTGGCAGGGCATTCCTCCCTGTTCTCTCTCTCTTCTTTTGGGTACTGTGTTTTGCCAGAGAGGCATTGAGTGGCAGTCATGTTTGGTCTATAGACCACTTTTAGCATGTCTCTCCCACCCTGGGAGGGTCTTCACAACACCCTTTATTTGGTGCTCTCTTCTCTATCTGAGCTTCCTTCGCTCCTAGAAACAATAGGCTTGTATAGTAAAGTGGCAGGCTATAAAATCAATACCCAAAAATCCATGGCTTTCCTATATGCAAATAATGAAAGAGAAGAAAGTGACATGAAGAAAACAATTCCATTCACAATTGTGCCCCAGAAAATCAAGTACCTAGGAATCGCCTTAACTAAGGAAGTAAAGGATCTGTACAAAGAAAACTACAAAACGCTACTTCGGGAAATAAAAGAGGACACGAGGAAATGGAAAAATATCCCCTGTTCATGGATGGGGAGAATCAACATTGTCAAAATGGCAATACTTCCCAAAGCACTGTACAAATTCAATGCAATCCCTATAAGGATACCCACGACATTCTTCAAAGAAATGGAGCAAACACTCCTGAAATTTATATGGAACAATAAGCCCCCACGAATAGCTAAAGCAATTCTTGGGAAAAAGAAAATGGGAGGAATCAACCTACCTAACTTCAAGCTCTACTACAAAGCAGTAATAATCAAAACAGCATGGTACTGGAACAAAAGCAGAGCTGCAGACCAATGGAATAGAGCTGAATATACTGACATCTCCTCCCAAACATATAATCATCTAATCTTCGATAAGGGGGCAAGAAAAGTGAAATGGAGCAGGGAAAGCCTCTTTAATAAATTGTGCTGGCAAAACTGGACGGCTACATGCAAAAAAGTGGGCTCAGATCTCTGCCTAACGCCATGCACAAAAGTAAGATCGAAATGGATTTATGGCCTCAACATCAGACCGGAATCCATAATGTTTATTGAAGACAAAGTTGGCAAAACTCTCCACGATATTGAGACGTCACGCCACTGGCCGAGCAAGTGAAAACAGAGATAGACAAATGGGACTATCTTAAACTAAGAAGCTTCTGCACCTCAAAAGAAACAGTGACCAAAATACAAAGACAGCCTACAGAATGGGAAAGAATATTCACCAAATACACATCCGACAAGGGGTTGATTTCAAGGATATACAAGGTACTGGTTAAACTACACAAGAAGAAATCACCCAACCCCATCAAAAAATGGGGCGAGGAAATGAACAGAAACTTTCGCAAAGAAGAAATCCGAATGGCAAAAAGGCACATGAGAAAATGCTCTACATCACTAATCATCAGAGAGATGTAGATCAAAACAACAATGAGATATCATTTCACACCACAGAGACTGGCCCACATCCACAAGAACAAAAGCAACAGGTGCTGGCGCGGATGTGGCGAGAAAGGGACCCTCCTTCACTGCTGGGGGGAATGCAGGCTGGTCCAACCCTTTTGGAAAACAGTATGGACGATTCTCAAAAAATTAGAATTCGATCTCCCATTTGACCCAGCTATAGCACTCCTGGGAATATATCCCAGAGAGGCAAAAATGTATAGTCGAAGTGACATCTGCAATTGTTTGTTCATTGCAGCACTCTTTACAATAGCCAGAATCTGGAAAAAACCTGAGTGCCCAAGAACAGATGACTGGTTAAAGAAGCTTTGGTACATTTACACAATGGAGTACTATGTAGCTGTTAGAAAAGATGAAGTTATGAAATTTACATACAAGTGGTACTACATGGAAAGTATCATGTTAAGCGAAATGAGTCAGAAAGAGCGGGATAGACACAGAAAGATTGCATTCATCTGGGGAACATAAAGCAACAAAACGGGAGACTAACACCCAGGAAGGGCTCAGATTAGTACCAGGAATTTTGCTCCAAGACAATTTTCATCTATACTATCCGTAAATATCTAAAGTTCCACACTTCCTACAAAGTAACAGGATTTATTAGGGTCCCAAATAAACCCTTTGTTGCAATAAAGACGATTTCTAAAGTATCCTTCTAAGTACCATTAGGACTCTGCTTTCTAAGTCTTCTTTCTATATGCTGTGGTTTTACCCACTCTGCTATCAAGTCAACCCTTCAGAGCTCAACTCCGATTTTGCCTCCATACAACAGCTTACTAATTTTCCAAAGTAGCTTATTTTATTCTTGTTTGAACCTAAGTAATTCATTTGAGACTGATTTACTGTCTTATATTCTAAGGGAAAAAAAAAATTCCTGAGCTCAAAAAACATTTTAAATAACTGCTGACAGAAGGAAGATATCTTTTTCTCAGCTTTATCTTGCACATATCACTAAAAAATTCACTTCAGAATTTTTTTAATTGGTTTTTGGTCCACACCAGACGATGCTCAGGGTTGACTCCTGCATCTACACTCAGGGATCACTCCTGGTGGTATTCAGGGACCACATGAGATGCCTGCCAGAGATCGAACTCGGGTCAGCCGCTTGCAAGGCAATCACCCTGTCCATTGTTCTATGGCTCAGGCCCCCAAAAATTCACTTCAAAAATAGGTGCCACAATTCACAAAAGGAACTAGAGTCCCAAAGTACATAGTATATTCTCAATCTGTATGCTTTGCCTCAGTTTTCCTGGCATATAAATAAACCTATAGGAACCTGTCACAGGCCTCAGTCATAAAAACTGGTGTATTCCCACACATCACCAACACTGCAACAATCACCTGAGTTCAATAAGCTTACCGGTCTTTGTTAAGATGTTCATCTTTGGTCACAAGAGCCATTATTGCCATTCTGTACATGTGATCCGATACACTCTCTGGACTTTCTACATTTCTGTATACCCAGCCAGTCCGTGGAACTCTCTGGTGAAAATAAAGAAGAGAAAGAGTTGGGAAAATAAGTATTTTTTAAACTGCCAAAAAAAAAAATTCTGACAGAAACACAGTAATTGCTCTACTTAACCAGTAGAACAAATTCCAGGCCCCCCCCCCAATCAATAAACAAGGAAACATTTATTACACACTATACTAGATAAAATGACTTAAAATAGATATATACAGAACACTGCCCCAAAGGAGCAGAATTCACCGTCTTTTCAAGGACATGTGGAAAGTTTTCAAGGACTAATCGCAGGTCAGAACACAAAACAAGCCTCATTAATTCCAAGAAGAACAAAATATCAAGCATCTGTATGACACAGTGGTATGAAGTTACAAATCAAACACACAAGAAAGCTTGCAAAGCACAGATAATCAGTGATTAAACAACACATGTTGGGTCACACAGAAATCAAAGGATAAAATTTAAATATCTGGTACTGTAAAAGAATGACTTCAGTATTACTAAAAACTATTATAACTCAACTAAGAAATCAATTCAAAAATATACAAACATAAAAAATAATGACATATGCCACAATTTAGGGAATTCAGCAAAAACTGTACTTAGAAGAAAGTTCATAGCAATACCACCTTCTCTCAAGGAACAAGAAAATCTCAAATAAACAATCTAACTTTACATTTCAAGGAACTAGAAAAAGGATAAATGAAGTCCAAAGACAATAGAAAAAAATAATAAAATCAATCTGGAAATAAATGAAACAGAAACCAAAAGACATTACAAAAGATCAGCAAAACAAAAATATGACACTTTGAAATAAATATCAACAATATGAACAAAACTTTCACTAGATCCATACAGAAAAAGATAATCAATTGAACAAAATAAAAAGCAAAGAGAGGAATCAATTTCAAAACACCTGCTCTCCAAAAAAGTAGGGTATTTTGTGTTCTAAAATATATATAAACATTGCTTTAAAAGCATTTAGTTGGAAAAGTATACAAAATAAAAAGATACAACAAATGTCTTAAGTTTTAAGATTTTTTTAAAGTTCAGGACCAGATTAGTTCACTCTTCAAAAAAACTAAAAGGAAAGAATACCTAAGACAACTTTCACAGGATAAATATTACAGTCATATCAAATCATACAAGATAATCACTGGGAAGGGAAATTACATGCCAATATATCTCATAAATTTAGATGCAAAAACCCTCAACAAAACACTAGCAACAAAATTCAACATCCATAAAAAAGTTCACACATCATAATCACTGTCACTGTCACTGTCCTCCAGTTGTTCATCGATTTGCTCAAGTGGGCCCAGTAACGTATCCAATGTGACACTTGTTACTGTGTTTGACATATCAGATACGTCATGGGTAGCTTGCCAGGCTTTGCCATGTGGGTGAGATACTCTCAGTAGCTTGCCAGACTCTGAGAGGGGTGGAGGAATCGAACCTGGGTCGGCCAGGTCAACTGCATGCAAGGCAAATTCCCTACCTGCTGTGCTATGGCTCCAGCAAACATAATCAAATATTTCTTTTTTATATGCAGTGAGAAAATTATGAAAATACCACTTATAACATCAAAAATAATAAATAACTAGTAATAAATTTAGTCAAAGAAAGCAATGAAAACTAAGGTATTATGGAAAGAAATTGAAGGAGTCACAAGAAGATGGAACAATATTCCATGTTCATGGATGAGAAGAATTAATGTTGTTAAAATAGCATTTTGTAACTGAAACCAAATCATGAACAGCTTTGTAATGCTCAATCTCATGTTGATTCAGTTAAAGAAATAAAGAAAAGAAAATGGCCATTTTACTTAAGCATTACAGATGCGATGGAATCCCTATTGAAATTCCAACAGGGAAGCCGAGCCAAGAAAACTTGAAATGAATATGGAACAACAATAAAATTTAATCATATAAGCAATCTTCAATTAAAACCATAAAGGAAATCATATTCTTCGTCTACCAACTATATGCTAGTAAACTAAAGTTATAGCAATCAAAACAGTATGGTATTAGAATAAAACCCAGAAAAAAAGCCCACACATATATAGACAATAGCATAACATACAATGGAGAAAGGGGAGTCTCTTCAATAAATGTCCCAGGAAAATGAGACAAAGTGCAAAATAATGACACAAGATTATTATCTTAGATCTCAGACAGAAATTAACTCAAAGTGGATGAAAGACTTGAATATAAGATCTAAAACCATAGAAGAGAAGAAGGGACTAGAGAGACAATACAGTGAGCAGGGTGCTTCTCTTGCATGCAGCAAATTACATTTTGATCCCTGGCATGACATTTGGTCTCCTAAACCCCACCAGGAGTGATTCCAGAGTGACTAGAGAGCCAAGGGTAAGTCCTGACCACAGCTGGATATGGTGCAAAAAACAAAATACCGAAGAATAGCTGGGTGATACATCCTTTGACATAAACTTTAGTGATATCTTTATGGATTTATCTCTAACACCAAGGGAAACAGAAGCAAAAATGTTATTTACTTATTTTTGGGTCACACCATGTGATGTACAGGTGTTACTCCTGGCTCTGCACTCAGGAGTTACTACTGGGGACGATATGGGATGCTGGGAATAGAACCCAGGTTGGCCGAGCGCAAGGCAAACGGCCTACCCACTGTGCTATCACTCCAGCCCCAAGCAAAAAATTAAAAATGACTAAATCAAACCAAAATGCTTCTTCACGGTCAGAGAAATTATTATGGGAGAAGATACTTGCAAAGAGACAAAAGAATTAATAGCCAGTTAAAGTAAGAGTAAATAAACACATCACAGATGGTCAAGAGACACATGAAAAACCACGTAAGATTTCATGTCATAGTTGCTAGAATAGTTCCTATGAGAAACAGAGTTGGTAGGATGTGAAGGTAAAGGAGGAACGCTCAGATACTGTGGATGGTAAACTGATGCAACACTATGGAAAAGCAGAGGGAGATTTCTCAAACATTTGAAACAGAACTACAATTCAGCAGTCCTATGTCTGGTTCTATTCATTCAGACAGTATGAAAACACTAATTTGAAAAGTCATATCCAATCCTACGATGCACTGTAGCACTGTCACTGTAGCACTGTCCTCCTGTTGCTCATCGAACAACGTTGTTCAGCCAAATATCCTACGATATTTGCAGCTATTCACAACGGCCAAGATACAGAAGTAAATGAAGTGTCCATCAACAGTAAGGATCACTGCCACTGTCCTCCAGTTGTTCATCAGTTTGCTCGAGCGGGCCCAGTAACATCTCCATCGTGAGACTTGTTGTTACTGTGTTTGGCATATCAAACACATCACATGTAGCTTGCCAGGCTTTGCCATGCGGGCGAGATACTCTCAGCAGCTTGCCAGGCCCTCCGAGAGGGTCAGAGGAATCGAACCCGGGTTGGCTGCGTGCAAGGCAAACCCCCTACCTGCTGGGCTATACCTCCAGCCCGAAGAAAGGATAAAGTGTGATATATATATACACAATGAAATATTCATCTATTAAACAACAATGAAAACTTGCCACTAGTGCCTCCATGGATAAACCTTAAGGGTATATGCTATGTAAAATGTGTCAGAAGAAGAAAAGTCACTACTGGAAATACAAAGAAACAAAGGGGACAAAAGAAAACAAATCACAGAGCTTAGTGGTTCTGAAGTAATGATTGTGAGGTGAGGTTTAGATATATAGAGGGGGTCAAAGTCACCTTTGAGAGTGATACCAACATTAGAGAAGTGGAAAAAAAAGGGCACAAAAACAAGTTCATGATTCAAAATTTATCTAAAATTTATTAATGACTAGCTTTGGCTGGAGTGATAGCACAGCAGTAGGGCCTTTGCCTTGCATGCAGCCAACATGACTGACCCAAGTTCAATTCCTCCACCCCTCTCGGAGAGCCCAGCAGGCTACCGAGAGTATCTCACCCACACGGCAAAGCCTGGCAAGCTATCCATGATGTATTCAATATGCCAAACACTGTAACAAGTCTCACAATGTTACTGGGCCCGCTCAAGCAAAATGGATGAACAATGGGAGGAGGACAGTGACAGTGACAGTGAATGACTATCTGAAGAGAGCTCAGGACTGGAGGCCATGCAGGGTTTTGGCCTCAAAGACTAAAAAATAAATGAAAGAATTAAAAAAAAAAATATATATATATATAGCTCGAGCGGGCCCAGTAATGTCTCCACTGGAGACCGTATTGTTACTGTGTTTGGCATATCGAATATGTCACGGGGAGCTTGCCAGGCTCTGCCATGCAGGCGAGATACTCCCGGTAGCTTGCCAGGCTCTCCGAGAGGGCGGAGGAATCGAACTCGGGTCGGCCATGTTGGCTGCGTGCAAGGCAAACGCCCTACCGCTGTGCTATCGCTCCAGCCCTATACAGGATTACCGAAGAAAAGTGGTTGACCTCTGGAACTGAGCCTCATGAGATCAGAAAATGATGTTGAGTGTGTGTGAATATTCCCATGTATTCAAAAGTTCAACAGTTCAGTTATTCTGTGTTGTTGATGGAAATGTATAAATTACAAAACACACACACACAAAAAAAAACGTTTAGACAAAAGAAACAACAGCAAAACAGTAAAGTATCTTACTTTTCCTAATTACAGGAGTTGGGACTTTGCCTTCCAACAATCCCACTCTGCAAAAGAACAAAACACTGAAAACTTGAGCAAAGGGTGTGCTTGCAAATTGGGAAGCAAGAGGCACTTCCAAGGGCTTCACGCTGACCCAATCAAGTCAGGGCTGCCTTTGATTCAGCAGGACCTGAGGCTGAGTTGGCTTTTTTCACCTGCAGAAATCTTTCTCCTGCACTGCTTTCCGGGTAGGGTGAAATTCAAGTGATCTGCAAATCACTACCCAGAGGGGCAGTGGGTGAGGAAGAACCCAGCAGCAGTGATCCCAGAGTGCAGAGGCCACTAGTCTTGAGCAGTGTTGGGTGTCCTGCCCGCCCTCACCTCACGTGTCTCTCTCTCCACACACACACACACACACACACACACACTCTCTCTCTCTCTCTCTCTCTCTCTCTCTCTCTCTCTCTCACATACACACACACACACACACATACACCTGAGTACTCCTAAAGTTGGGTCTCACACACACATATACACGCACACACACACACATAAACACACAAGTACTCCTGGAGTTGAGTCACACTCACAGATACCAGAGTACGCTGTAGTTGGGTCTCACAAACACACACACAAGCATTCTTTGGAATTGGGTCTTTCTCACACACACATACCCGAATATTCCTGGAGTTAGGTTTCACACACACACACAAACACACACACAACAGAGTACTCCTGGACTTGGGTCACACACACACACCCACACCTGAGTACTCCTGGAGTTGGGTCACACACATATTCCTGGAGTTGGGTCTCTCTAACACACACATACCCGAGTATATCTAGAGTTGGGTCTCACACACACACACTTACTCCTGGAGTTGGGTTTCACACACACACATATACACATACACACACGAACACACAACAGAGTACTCCTGGAGTTGGGTCTCTCTCTTACACACACACACACACACACACACACCTGAGTACTTCTGGAGTTGCATCACACACATACCCGAGTATTTCTAGAATTGGGTCACACACACACACAAGTATTCCTGGGGTTGGGTCTCACACACACACACACACACACACAAGTATTCGTGGAGTTGGGTCTCTCTCTCACACACACAAGTACACCTGGAGGTGGGTCACACATAACACATACACACCCCGAGTACTGGAGTTGGGTCACACACATACAAACCCGAATATTCCTGGAGTTGGGTCTCTTACACACACACACACACACACACACACACACACACACACACATCCCGAGAACTCCTGGAGTTGGGTGTCACACAGATACACACACACACACACACACACACCCCGGGTACTCCTGGAGTTGGGTGTCACACACACACACACACACACACACACACACCGGGTACTCCTGGAGTTGGGTATCACACACACACACATATTCGAGTACTCCTGGAGTTGGGTGTCAAACACACACACACACACGGAGTACTCCTGCGGTTGGGTGTCTCACTCTCACACACACACACACACACACACACACACACACACACACACACGAGTACTCGAGTACTCTACTTGGCACCCGCGGTCTGTCCCGGCTGCCTGCTGTCCAGCCGGAAGGAAGCCCCGCGCCCAGTCGAGGGTCGGGGGCCCTGAGCGTCCTGGGGCCGGGTTCGGTCCGCCCAGAGGCGCCGGGTCCTCGCGGCCGCTCCCCGCAGCGCGCCCGGCAGCCCCGCGGCGGCCCCGACCCAGGCCCCTCCCCTCCGCCCGCTCACCTTGAGCTGCCCCACCAGCCGCAAGAACTGCAGGAGGTTCCGGGCTTCGAGGCCGGGCAGGGCCGCCGGCGCCGCAGCCATCCCGACGGGCCGCCGCGCACCACGTGGGCGCCGCCGCCAGCCGCTCCGCCCCTGCCCCCACCTCTCCTTCCCCTCCGCGCGCTCCTCCTCCTTCTCCCCAGGGCTCCTCCCCCACCTCCTCCCTCCGTCCCGGGCTCCTCCCTCCTTCCTGGGCTCCGCCCCCAGGGCCACCCACCGTCCTTTCCTCTCCTCCCTCCTCATCTCTGCCTCCTCCCTCCTCCTCCCTTTCCCTCTTCCTTCCCATCTTTATTTTCCTCCTCCTCCTCCTCCTCCTCCTCCTCCTCTTCCTCCTCCTCCTCCCCCCCCCCCCCCCCCGCCTGATTTCCAATCCCTTCTTTTGTCTAGTTTACTCTCCTTTTGGTGTATGCCTTGATAGTAGCTCCTGGATCACTACAAAGTCCAGGGCAGACACAGTTGCTTGGCACACATTAGGCACTAGGCTCCTAACCTGTTTTCTGAATAACTGTATCAAGCATCTAAAGGGATTGCTGTTTGAAGGGTACAGAGGGCAACAATGGTATGTAGTCTTACATATTAGGAACACAGGACTGGATTGGGGCTCTTACTCAAGGCAGGCTGATGATGAACTTGCAAGCTGGGTTCCAAGGGAAGGGTTTTGAAGGTGAGGAGTGAGAGATGGAGTGGGAGGACTTTGGTGGTAGCCTTAGATAAAGGATATTGAAGATAAACACAAAGGAACCTGAGCGTGGAAACAGTCCGGAGGTGAAATCACCACCATTCTGATACCTCAAGAATTCCCCAAATATTTCCCCCCACCACACACACACACCCCAAATTCACCGCTGACTGTCTAAACCATATGTCTTAGTTCCATAAATCATCAAAGGCATTTTTAAAAGGCATTTAGTGAACAAGCATATTGGAGGAGTCATCATAGGGGTGGGGGGACAGTAGGGACCCCATTCAGAGAACATTGAAATTAAGCATTAGGGAAATGGTTTTGATTTGGTTTAGGACAGTTAGCGGTGGTAATTGTGAAATATTGAAATTTAGATACCTGTTGAAGGTAGGATCAAACAGTTTGTGATCGCTTGGCAGCATCACAGTGGGACATGAGAAATAAGGATGGAATATAAGATAAAGGAAAGTACCCCAATAAAGATTACTCCACAAATTTTGATCTCTGGAAAAGAATGCAGCCTTTATTTTAGCCCACTGAGACCCATTTTAGGCTGTGAGACCCATTTAGAACTGTGAGGTTAAACACTCATGTAAAGTTCGGTTAATGATAATGTTTTACAGCAGCAATATAAAACTAATACATACTGGATGGTCTTGACCCTATTCTGCCAAACATCTTTACCCCTTTCTTCCCTGCACCCCAAAAGAAAAAGCATTCTATCAAACCAAGGGTTTATTTCAAGGACGTGTTTGACAACAAACCATCTTTCCCTAGTATCTATATAAATAAGAATAAAGCAGTGGAATTAATTATTTCCACAGAAGGAGTGCAAATAATTTAAGTTTAAACACGTGGCAAATAAAATTATCTGACATTTGAGTCAATTAGAAGAAAAAAATAGGAATTAGAGGCTCTCATTAGAGGAATTCTTGTTCTTGCTTGGGCTCAATACAACATACACTGAAGGGAAATCTGTGGGAAAAGGGTAAAGGTATTTGGCCAAAAAAAAGGGGGGGGTCAAAGTCACTCAATATGTATTACTAAAATTGTCTACCAAATTGTGCTGCTGTTAAGGATAATGCAGTCCAGTGTGGTACACAAATCTTGGTGATATATATATATATATATATATATATATATATATATATATTGCTTTTTTTTGGTCACATCCAGCGATGCTTAAGGGTTATCCCTGGCTCTGTACTCAGGAATTACTCCAGGCAGTGCTTGGGGGACCATATGGGATGCTGGGAATCGAACCCGGGTTGGCTGTGTTCAAGGCAAACACCCTACCCACTGTGCTATCACTCCAGTTCCTTGGTGTTATATATTTAAAAATATTTTTTTAAACAGTGCTAGGACAACCCAAAGACTTCACACTTGCAAGTCTTGCATTCTACCAGTGAGCTCATTGCAGTAATATTTTAAAAACTGTAATAGATTGAACTTTCTGTGTGTGAGATATATATTATTACATGGTTCACCTAATTTTAATTCTACCCATAACCTTCTGATGCCTTAATAATATCACATTTCAAAAGCTGGTGTAAGGAACTTGCTTTGCATTCGGCCTACCTTGATTTAAATCCCAGGTACCACATATGATTCCCTGAGGACTGCAGAAAGGTGTGACTCACAAACCCAATAGTAACAAAAGAAATAATATCGCATTTTAGATGAGTAAACTGATTAAAACTACATTGTACAAACATAAACAGAAGCACCAGAATCAGTGTTCTCTCCTTCCAAACCTTTCTTTCTGTTACCCTTTAATCAATTGGTCACCAGTACTAACTTCCTTATTATGAAATTTTTTGTTGTTCTTGAGCATACTTGGTGGTTCTCAGGACATACTCCTTAAGCTATATACTTGGAGTGTTACCCAGACACTTGTTACAGTTGCTTCCAGTAGTACTCAGGAGAACATGTGAAGCTGGGGATCAAAACAGGGATTCCAGTCTGCAAAGCATGTATGGTGTTCCAGTCTTTTCAGCTATTTTCCCAGTGTCTTATTGTGAAAATTAAATGGGATTCTAGCACAAAATAGATTTCTAAACTATTACTTATGCAAAGAATTGGGCAAATAAGTAACAATGGCTGCATCTGAGAAAATTTTCTTAGAAAATATTTATAACTATAGGGCGTTTGCCTTGCACGCAGCCAACATGGCCGACCCGAGTTCGATTCCTCCGCCCCTCTCGGAGAGCCCGGCAAGCTACCGAGAGTATTCGATATGCCAAACACAGTAACAACAAAGTCTCCAATGGAGACGTTACTAGGCCCGCGCGAGCAAATCGATGAACAACGGGAGGACCTTTACCTTCACCTTAGGAAAGTCTAAAGAGTAGATTATCTCATCTGAACAAATCCACATTGTTCTTTTAAGACTGTCTAAGAACTACTGCTGCTTTTGTCTGCAATATCTACATAGATTAAAAAAAAGTATTGATTGGTTTATATCACTGGTTCTCAAAATCGGGGTGATTCTCTTTCAAGAAAATATTTAACAAGATTTGGTGAAATATTCATTTGTCATAAAGCAGTGTGTGTGTGTGTGTGTGTGTGTGTGTGTGTGTGTATGTGTGTGTGTGTGTGTGTGTTCAGACATCTAAGGGTCAGAAACCACAAACTTCAAAAAATTCCTACAAAGTACAGATTTTTCTGGTCCAAAAAAAAAGATCAGTAGTGCAAAGGCTAAGAAGTCTTGGGGTCTATGGTCACCGAAGATGTTTATAACTAAATTTCTCCTCTTGTCAATGAATTATAATTAGCAGAAAATTGATCTTAATTTTCTTTTTCTCTTTCCTATTTTTGTTTGTTTTGTTTTTGGGCCACACCTGGCTGTGGTCAGGACTCTGCCCTCAGGTATCACTCCTGGTGGGGCTCTGGAGACCATTTGGGCAATGGGGATCAACCTGGGTTAGCCACATACATGCAAGACAAGTGCCTTACTATCTCTCTGGTCTCAGTCTTAAGTTTCTATGTTAAAAATGAGGAAATAATGTAAACAAACAAGTTTCACATGTTTTAATGTAGTGCAGAAAGACCCTCCAGCTTAGCCCTGACTTTGGGGAGATAAAAGGATTAGAAGGCTGCTTTGATCACTTATGCAACTAGGTTAAAGCAGAGAAATTCATCTCACAGAGGTAAATGTGGGATATTAAGTCTGGGAGTGAAGAAGCATCACAAGAGAAATGCTAAGGGTAAGGGATTCAGCGTTTTACTGCTTTGCTCTTTCTTCTTGCCTATGGTGCCATGGAGTCCCCTGGAAAGAAGTCAGCATGCGTACCACTTGCCCATAAAACCAACCACTAACCAAGGAGCTAAGGAAGGGGCCCTCCCGTTGATCGTCGATTTGCTCGAGCGGGCCCAGTAACGTCTCCATTGGAGACTTTGTTGTTACTGTGTTTGGCATATCGAATACTCTCGGTAGCTTGCCGGGCTCTCCGAGAGGGGCGGAGGAATCGAACTCGGGTCGGCCATGTTGGCCGCTTGTAAGGCGAACGCCCTACCCGCTGTGCTATCGCTCCAGCCAAGGAAGGGGATTCTGCTAAAATGAGTGGCAACAGAAAAAAATCAAGCTTGCTGATGATGCTAATGAAATTTGCAAGAAAGCATGCCTCAAGGCTGGGGCAATAAGTCAACCTCTTGTAAGTGCAGGCTTTGCAAGCAGAAGCCCAACTTTGATCATCCAAACACCCTTGCACATGGTCTTCTGAGCACTGCCAGTAGCAATTCCTGAGAACAGAGCTGGATATTTTTTCTGAGCACCATTGCAAAGAAATGCCCTACTCACTGCACTATCACTGCATCCCAGTATTTTCCTTTTGAATTAAAAAAAAATTAAAGGGGGTGGAGAGAGAGAGAGGAGAGAGAGAGAGAGAGAGAGAGAGAGAGAGAGAAGAAAAGACCTGCCATAGAGGTGGACTGAGGGGTCGGAGGGAAACTGGGGACATTGGTGGTGGGAAATGTACACTGGTAAAGGAACAGGTGTTGGAACATTATGTGACTGAAACTCAATCATGAACGATCTTTTAACTGTGTAACTCACTATGTTTGAATTAAAATAAAAAATTTTTAAAAAATTTAAATTATTTTTGGGCTGGAGTGACAGCACAGCTGGTAGGGCGTTTGCCTTGCACGTGGTCGGCCCGGCAAAGCTGGGTTCTATTCCTCCACCCCTCTCGGAGAGCCTGGCAAGCTACCGAGAGTATCTTGCCTGCACGGTAAAGCTTGGCAAGTTACCTGTGATGTATTCGATATGCCAAACACAGTAACAATGGAGATGTTACTGGGCCCGCTCGAGCAAATTGATGAACAATGGGAGGAAAGTGAGAGTTTAAATTACTTTTATTAAACAGTAGCAAAATTAAAGAATATATAGA